TAATGGATCAACCCATAAACTACATAAAATAAAAAAATATTTTTAAATTGCATAACTAATTAGTTTAGTTATATTTTTGTATAAATGACAAATAATTACAAAATATTTTATTTTGTTAATAATATACCTATATATATAACTAGGATGGCTATGAAACGTTTGTAAACATTCACCAGTTAATTGATTCCAATGTTTAACTGTAGCATCGTTTGAACATGATAAAAACTCATTTTCTTTTAACGAAGCTAAATCTCTTACACAGTCAGTATGACCTAAAATAAAATAAAGTTTAACTTTGAATTTAACAATATCTATAAATATTAATACACCATGTAAGCAAATTGAACACAAATATAATATAAATAATAAATTACCAGTTAATTTTTTAATAATAGTGGTTGATTTGTCATGTTTGCCAAATACAATTACATGTACATGAATAGTTTTATCAGCCGAACCAGTTATTAAGTGTTTAGTAGATAGTTGTATTGCAGACCAAACAGCCATTGAATGTCCATTACAAATCGAAATTAATACTGCTAGATAGCGTTTTTCTGACTCCTTGATTATTTTCCACAATCGAGCTGTTGAATCCCACGAAGAACTTATAAATGTATCAGGCAATACACCAGGGTTCAGTTTACACACTAAAAACATAAAACTACTAAATAAATTTTATAATAAAATGTTATTTTGCTTGAGTGTTAAAATAATATTTTAATAACTAATTTCTATCAGATAAAGTTTTAAAATTATGTTCTCGATCTTAGACTCAATTTACACTGAAACTTCAACAGCTGTCAATCTTAAATAAAATGACATGCTATTACCAAAGAAATTCAACTTTTTAAAAATATTAAAACATGAACAAAGTTAACTAATGAAACTTAGTTTTTATAAAAAAAATTAAATAAATAAATACCTATATAAATATATATATTATAATTCACAGTATAAATATAAACAAAATTCTTATATTTTATAAAAAAAAATTTAACATAAATTTAAATTATACACAATTTATATTTTATTACCGGCTCCTTTATGCCCAGTTTCAACAAGAACAGGTTCAAAGGAATGAGGAACAAATCCAAAGATTTGTTTATCATTACCACCAGAAAGAATGATACCAAAAGGTAAGATTTCAGAGTTATTTAGTGCTGTAACACACATTACAAAACCCTGATGTTGTTTAAAAATGTGAACATTTGTAAATCCATTATCTTCACTGAAATGAAAAAACACAATACAAATAAATTTACAAATAATAATTGTGCAATTATTTTTTTTGTAATTAATATAATGAATTAATATTAATTGCAAGTTTAAATTTTTTTTCGTTCAGTTTACAATAGTATTTAAAATGTATTGACTTGTCAAAGAATATCACTCTCCCTGCCTATAGGCTATATTCAATATAATATTTGTTTCTCATGTGACATGTAATCTGTGAACTCTAGTAAATCTTTATTTTTAATAATATTTTACCTATTTCAATTAAACCCCTTTTTACACCGTATAGAATAAGTCCATAGTTTATTAAATTTTATATACTATTACAAGATAAAAGCTACCAATTTATATTTTATTATAAGTACTATTGTTCTAATCAGTTTAATCCATTAATAATCAGTTTTTCTGTGTGATAGTATTCATCATATTTATATAGGCACGGTGATTTTATTGCACTTTATTTTTTATAAAAAAAATCACAACTAAGAAATGACACGACTATAGGTATAATTTCGATAAATGTACCTACTAAATATCACTATACAGCAATAAAAACAGTAGACCACATACTATAGTCGCAATATTGACAGTAGACTGCATACGAAAAGATAGTCTTAAATAAGGTTCTAAATTGTTGTATTATTTTAAACTTATGGCCTTCAACTTCTAACCGACTATTCTAATCATCTAAAAGTATCTTTTTCGACTACCATACAATCTGTTTTTTCTATATTTCTTTCCAATCATATGATTTTTGTGGCTTCTATTAATTTTTTGGATTGGTTTATAAATTTAGTTTTCTTATAACTTTCAGTTATGTCTAACTCTCTCCTTTTCTCCTACCATCTACAATTCATTTCAAAAGATTACTCTCCCAGCCTATGGCTTACTTCTTATCATCATCTATCTAAATCATCTAAGCAATTATCGAAACAACATCCACATATTACCTTTTTAAACTTATTATTGATTCTATCATCTCTAATGACCACTCATTCATTCAAAAATGTCTACTAAACCCATCTAATGTACCTTTAAAATATAGGAGTTATTTCAATTTTTTAAATAGCATGCAATGGGTAGTGATTAATTTTTTAATTGTTTACATTTGTGGAAGCTTAAGGCAATTTAAATAAAAAAAAATATATAAAAGAATATTTTATATCATTAGAACAATAAGGTAATAATTTTGGTGTGAAAATTTAATTTTAAGCATTTAAATATATTTAAAGTTCTGAAAATATAATATATTTAAATATTTTATACCTGTTAGGTTTCCAAAGCATAACAGTTCTGTCTCTGGCCACGGACACTATGAAACCGTCATTGGTAATGGTAAGACCACGGACGTCCAATGTGTGTCCTACAAGGACTGTGCTCAATTTGTATTCCATTAAGTAAGTTTACAAATTGAAAATTAAAGAAATATTTCAATATTAACTTTAAATACAGTTGAAAGGTGTGAACTATGAATCTAACACAAATCAAAACGACAACGATGGTATACTAAAAAAAAATTGAAAATTGATTAGTAACGCCAGAAAAAAATACATTTTCATAACAGTCTATAGTAATTCAGGTGTTCTCAAAATACTCGAGGGACATAAAAAGATAAACTGTTGGGCCCTGGGCACGAATTATGATACGGATTACAGGATATCGAACGGAAAGATCTCATCAATGTTTTTCTGAGCTGCCCGGTTCTCAGTTTTTCACAGTTTTGCTAGACAGCCAGCGCTATAAGACAAAATTTGGACAAAAATCAACTAAAACCAGTTTAAAGTTTTGACTGGAGGAGTAGAGTATGTAATAAATTGCATATCTATTCTATCACGGCGTTAGACTATTCAATTATTTAATAACGATTAAATATTGACATAATTTGCAAAGAGTACACTAGATGGTGTTAGTAGCCTTGCCAAAAGTGAGACAGTTCGAGCTTAACTCGAATCACACGTGCATTCGGTATTCTGTATATTTTAATTCGTGGTCCAGATATAAATAAAGTGATATGAGAAATTGATTATATCAATAATAATAGAGAAAATACCAAGGCCAATTGATTTTTACACAGCATTGGCTATTATCATAAATTTTGTATAATTTATAATATTATAATTTTATAAATAATAAAATAATATAATATGTATGATATAATAATAAGTTCAAAACCGCGCGGTTACGCCGCCGTAGTGTAACATGTACATGAACTAAGTAGTCGACCTGGGCGGTTCTTGCCGCCATAGTGTGTAGTGTGACCTTTGTATGCACATACACAGAGAAGTGGTTTGAGTGTTTAAACACCCCCGAAGTATTTAGTTTAACCTAACCTAACCTAACCTAAACATTCATATGCTTATTAAGTAAGTCCACTTACAATTGACTTTCCCTCTTTTTTTATTTATTCCCTTAAATCATAAAAAAGCTATAGGTAGTAAAAAAGACGGACATACTTCAAATGATGGGTGGCCACTGTTGGGTAGGTAAGAAGTTGGGAAGGTAGGATATTATACAGAAGGGAATTTAATGAATATCTGTACGCAACGATTAAATATTGCTGATAAAAACCGATTATGAATAGAGTTCGGTTATACATGTAATATTTATGATTTTCATCAAAATTTGACATTAAAATATTCTTATAAAAAAAAATTCTACAGCTTTACGATGCTACATTTGGTAATAGTTATCGGTAATCATTTAATGTATTCAACAGTCAAATATCTATGGACACTAAAGTAATATAAAATAAAATTTAAGTTAAAATGTAAAATAAATCAATTATGTAGATTATTTGGTAAATAATATTTAATTTTTTAATAAAACTAGCTCAAATATTAAATTATAAAATAGGCTCATAAAATTAATTCAATCTAGTATTACTAATAGTAAAATTAATTATTTTAAAGCAATAATATCAGAAAATTTAATTCACAAATATTTATGTTTATAATCAAATAATGTATAATAATCTTATGACGTAAATTATTTTCTAATAAAATTAGCAACAGCATTTAAACATTTTGGAATATTTCTACTGCCATTATTATATATTCCTTAGGTATATTTTTATTGTTTATCTGTGGTGGTCCAATGGTACCCAGTTCATGCTGTGCAACTTTAGTCTGCTGCATTTACATGTTATATCTTTATAATCAATGTCCAAATTTACTAGTTTATTTATAAGAACGTTTTTTTACATTTTTAAATTTGGATATTTTGAGTATTTTGAGTAATATATCATTTTATATTCTGCCTCGTTGCGGTGAAACCTGAACTATTAATCATGCCATACATATATATTTGTTGTATTGTTATATGCTTTATTTTTATATAACTAATTTTTTAATTAATGTTTTTAAATATCACAATTATTGTACAGAACTAAATGTTATTTCGTTCTTGATGTGATAAGAAAACACAGTGTAAGAAGGTTAGATATGTTTTAAAATTTAAAGTACTTAGTTTTTGTTATTTGTCAGTAATACCTATAGACAACTGGTTGTAATTATAAAATGAATCATTCACTGCATTAAAATATTCTATCCATTTTCAATTGATTTGAACAATAGATAATTTACCTACAATTTTTTTTTTTATCTTGATCAGATATTCAAACCCTCTTTTGGAAAATCTTGGTTTCGCCACCGCTACATAATATTTATTTTGTATGAATTATAATTAAAACCAGCGATTTGTACAATCAATTCAAATATTTTATATATAATCTAAAATATCAAGAGTGCATGATGAAATAAATAAAAACTTTTTGTTTTAATTAAACTGTATCTTTTATTTTTTTTTTATAGATCAATTGATAAATTTAATATTAACAATTAAATAATAAATTATGGTATGTAGTGTATTCACCCCGATTGTGTGCAGATTGCGAGTATCATTGACATAACTAGTTTTATTTTATTGAAGATAACACATATTTAAGTAGGATCAAAAGAAAAAAAAAATTTGTTTTCATTCTATTATTTTGTTAGATATTTAAAATTATACTTTTGGTCTATATGCTCAATGATTAGTGAAAAAAATTATTTTAGTTATTTATGTAGTTTAATAAATAAATAACAAAAAATCAATAAAATAGAGGTTTCTCATACATAACATAATGAGTTCTTTACCAAATAATCAAAATTCACACAATAGATACACGCAAATAATGTTCCACGGGTTCTTGTTTATTTATATACAATAGTTAGTATATTTACTATACTGCAATAATTAGAAGTGTTAACATTGACCATCTTTTAACTTTTTCATAACTATAAGCACAATCATATTGGATGAAACATTACATATTACAAATAAAATACTTTAAACAGCATGTCAAAAACTGAGTAACATTAAAACAAACAAATATATGAATGAAATGTATTATATATATAGTCAACACTACCGGAAATATCGTGAAAATTCCCTTAGAGAACGACACAGCTCGCCTTCGTTTTCGTAACTGAAACAGAATTCATTTTTTCAGTTATTTTATTTCGGGATAGACAAAACTAATAAAATTAGACCTTAGTTTACTTATACTGTATAATTTAATGTTCTTGGCTATTTACCTATGAAATGACTTTAAAAATTGCAAACACTGCTCATTGGTCGCTGTAACCAAGCCAGCTGAGTTTTGTTTAGGTAATTTTTCTACAGCTCCATTTAACCATCTTAACGTTTGCTACAAATGTCATTGAACATTAAAAAAACAATATTTTTTTATTAAAATCTTCTCATTAAACTAAATTCTTACGTCTTTATCATATGTCATGAGTTCAATAATTACATCGATCACATCAGGCAACATGTATGTTTGAAGTGAGAATACACTTGCTTGAATTAAATTATCAATTAATTGTTCACCAATTGAACTTACAATTGAGGTAACATATTGTTTACGTTCTTCATAATTTGTACTGTCCTGTATGAATAAAATTTGTATTTAATATGCAGTAATATGGTAAATACTTAATTAATAAAAAGATAGTTACTTTTTTTGATTTTCCGCATAATAACAAGTCTAATAGGAATTTCATAACAGATGCATTTGCTTCTTTGTGATCTAATGAAACTGCAGTTATACTGCACCTAATAATCACTTCAAGTACTGGAGACTGAAGGAAAGGCATTGGGAGTTTTTGAATAAATCTACAATATTAACAACAATATTTATTTTTAAAAACATATTTATATATACAATTAGGTGTTGATTTTTTCCTCACCTGCAAGCTAACCGAAAGAAATCATCAACAGTATCGGGATAATTCCTAAGTCCATCTTTTTCACTAAATAATCGGAATGCTGGTTCAATAAATGCATCAATCATTTCTAATAGGATTGAATGACACTGTGTCATAACAAGTGGATTATCGAATTTAGAACCGTACTCATCAACCATAATTGAACCAATATAAAGATAACAACTGTGATGATGTTCTTTATATAAATAAGCCATCTACACAGAATATTTGAATTTAATTTGTAAGCATTTAATAATTAGATAATACACACATGATACATACTTGCTGAGCAATTGGTGCTAAAAGTGCAGTTGTTGACCGACTAACCAATCTAATCATAAAACGAAGACATCGACAAAAATGTTCAGTGATACGGGAATCTGTTTTATATCTAGTGCATATTTTTGACATAGATGGCCACATCTAATAAAATTTCATAAACTGTTATTACAAAGTAAATTTTAATTCAAAAATATATATACTTCCACAATAGCAACAACACACGGATCTTTTTCAGAATGTGTTTTTGTTACTAAATGCCTCAATATCGCTGACAATCGATCCAACCAATAAATTGGGTCTGTAGGAGTATTAGTTTCAGGAACTACTTTTTCTGAAGTAGACTAAATACATAAAACAATAAATTTAGTAACTTGTTACATTAATTGGCTTATTTTTATTTAAAGAAATATTTACTTCAGCAAGAGCCAATAGAGGATTTAACTGTCTCCAACAAATTTCTTTTATTGCTTTGTACACGTGTTCTTCGGGTACTTCAGCAACAATAACAGCAACACCTTTAACAAGTAAAATATTAAATCAATACTAATTAATTAATGATTTTATTAATGTATATATACCTTTTAATAATCCAATTGCAACATCATTTGGCAAATTTAACATGTCAACAACTTTTAGAATTTCAATAAGTCCACTAAGATGTTTGACCATATGATGTCGACAAGTAGTGCAAATACTATGTAAAGATTTTGCAGTGATTGCAGCGAGATTTTGTTGGCGCAAACAATATTGCAGATAATTTAATATAGGTTCTGAAAATACAAACACACCATTAAAATAATAAAATATGTTTTTTTAAATATTAGTTTAAACATTTTAATTTGTATACTTTCATAGATTAAAATAATTAATATAAAATAAATGTGCATAAAAGATTAATTTTAACATCTATAAGAAATGAATGTCATAATATATATTATTTATTACCTAGAGTCTCTGAATGTTGTTCATGTGATATCCACTCGCACAACTCTCCTAATAGCATTACTGAAGTGTATCTCATGTTTATGTGAACAGTTTCAGGCATATTGAGTATAGCTTCTACTACTTTTGGAACCACTTCATTTTCATGTCTATGTCAATTTAATGTTTTTTAAGGTGTGCGATAAGAACAAATTTTAAAATTACTTACGGTAATATATTCCTGGCAATAGCTTGCATTATAAATAAAGCAGCTTCCATTTGATCCCAAGTTGCATTAGATACTGAAGCTGATTGTAAAACAATATACATTTGTTGAAAAACAGCAGATGAACTGACTATAAACACTACATCTTTAATCAAATCTGAACATTTTATTCTGAATTCTGCAAAATCTTCAACGCCTTCATCTAATAGACCTTCCTGAAAAATCATGATTTGATAATGTAACAATTTTTATTTGATTCAATGAAACTTACATGATCTGTATCAATCATACAATGTTTATATAATGCACCAATTAATTGTTCAAAATAAGGTTTAAACATTTCAGTTAAGGTAGGATTATTTATTTTATACAATTCTTCAGATAATCTAAACCAAAGATTGAATGTTATTAGTAAAACCTGAAAAATAAAACAATATAATTCAAATTAAACACATTTACATTAAGAATAAAAAAAAAATAATAGAAATAGATATTGAGTATAGTAAATGATAATAATATAAATACATTTAAGTATGGGACACAGTTTTTCAATATTTTGACATTTTTTTCCTGAAAGCCGTATGAGATAAACAATATTACTTGTAGCAGTGATCAAAATGGAAAATTGTATGAACTGGAACACTTACAAAATTAATATGCCATAATATAGAAAACTTCTATTTTTTTCTGCTGTAAACCAGTTTTAGTATAATCATTTTGTTTGTGACACTAACGGAAACATTTTACCAAGTAGCAATTGTCTTAATGTCTTCAATAAAATATTAACTTACTAACTTCAAATTTGTATAAACCGGAACTTTAAAATTCTAATTTTAATCAACCAGAACGGGTTCAAAAGTTAATATTATGAACTGGAGCGCTATTTCAGTGCGTTCCAGTCCATTTTGAATATATACTTGTAGAAAATGTACTGTTAATAACACATAATTCAGTACACAGATATATTTTTCAATTATTTTAAGACTTTTTATTTACCTCATAATCATGATGGTTTGCACATAAAATGACCGATTCTAATGCTTTGATTGAGAAATGTGGAAGACCATTGGCTCCTAGACTTTTATTTATCATAGTCAATACTAAAGATTCAGCTAATTCTGTGAATATTCTACAGTAGTTGACAGTTCTGTAATACAAATTGTTTTGTTATAAATAAAATTACAATTTTCAATAATTTTGTCTAACCTATCTAAATCTTCATTGGTAACAGACATCATGTAGGCCTGTTCTAATGTATTGACAGAATTTAAAATTTCAAGCTGTATTTCATCTTGATTATTATTATCTTCTAAAGTCTGTAGGAACGCAATCACCGCATCAGCAGCTGCTTCTTGAACCATATTAGATCCCTAAAATAATGATGGAAACTTTCAAGTTTAAAAAGTTAAAAATTGAATCTATTATATTATATTATTACATCAAAACTACATAAAACGTTAAATGCATTTGAAAGCACATTACTATGCCACACTTGTGATAAAGACACTGTTCTTATGTTTAACCATGACGCAAAACATTTATAAGATCTTATTTTAACACGTTCATCATTCGGTTCTGATGTTAAGCATAGTTCTAAAAGTTGATTAACAGCTGGCAAATTCTCACTGAATTCTGTATAAATTTCTGATCGACGATTAGCACCCAAGCGCAACGTTCGAGAATTGACTTCTTCAGGTAGTACAGTTAACAGTTCTAATATAAAACAAGTTTTCAATGTGTTGTATCGTGAAGCAATATCAACAGCAGCGTTCTTCCATGAACCCATTTGAAGGGCCAAATGTGCCAATGCTACACATAACTTTAAATGCAAAAATGAATAAATAAATATTAGTTAATTATAATAGGGTGAAAAATATATATGTATATAAATAAAAGTAGGTGCATTATACTTGTGTAGCGATCACACCATCAGTTGTATCATCCAGTTTTGACAAATGATTAAGTAAAGCATCACGTAATGAGGCGTGTGAATCTTGAGGTAGTTCATGAAAGGAGTTTTGTAATTTTGAACGCATAGTCTGCGCAGCTAAATAACATGAGTTCAGATCTATTTTTCGGGCTAACAATTCATCAGCTATCTTCCACGCATATACCTGTTACAATGAACAATATTAATTTGCAGTTAACTGTACAGTTCAAATTACATACAGATTTTTGCATTTCATTTAGCCAATTGGAGGCTCGCTGTTTTTCGGCAGGGTTGGTGTTTTGATTGTACAGCGCGTAAATGGCTTCGTATACAGTTTCTATTGAAGGAGAATCCTCCATTTCCGTAAAATAAATAAATCTAATGGATATAATAAAATTACATACCTAATATTTAATTAAAGTAAGAACAAGGCGTACTTTCAAAAAATTAAAAAAATTACTAGTAGGATACTAGGATAATACAATTTGTTTGATGTTTATATTGTAATGTGATAAACCGAAATGTGTGATAATGTGATTTGCATGGAAAGCCATCATCAACCGAAATATGCCGCCTATTTTTCAAACGTCGAATTTCAGGATAATAAATACAAATACCAAAAACCTTTGTTTAAGTTAATTCTATCTTAAGTTATGTTATCAGGTGGTTATAGCTTTTTTTTTTCATTAATAATATTTGTTTAAAAACAAAGATCAGATAGATACTTATTTTGGGATGTGTAAAGTAGAAATAAATTTAATATAATATTTATTGGGAATATGAATATCATCTATAATTATTCGAATCTATATTTTACCCTGGTAGATATAATTTTAATAGGTAGGTACTTATTTAATTGCATCCTTCAACATATGGACCAGCAACACCAGCGTGCATTGTAGCTTTAGAAATGTATGAAAGAAGGAAGAATGACTAATTACAAAAACCCCTTAATACCACAAATATTTGTGAAATAATAGAACAAATCCTGTGTGAAGGGCAGAAGGATGTCTCATGAGAAAATTTATAATTAGAAAGTCAGTTGGAAAGAGAACCATATTTAGACAAGACATCCGAATTGGTTTGAAAAGATGAAGAGAGATTTAACAAGAATATATGCCATCTAGTCATCTTCAACAATGATATGGCAACGAATAAAAGATCAGTGGAGAGGAATAGTGAAGTAGCAAAGGAACTTAATAAGCCAAAGAAGAAAATTGTAACATTCTTTGCAATAACAAATAAAATTAATAAAATTATTTTTTATGTAATTCAATAAATGTATACATAATTAAATAAATTATTATAATATGTAGTCAGTGTAAAATCTAACAATACAGATGTTTATATTTTAAATTTATTAAATCCTATTAATAGGAGGGGTAAAAATAAAGCAAATTTAATTTTTAATAGGTAGGTACTTATAAACATTAAATATGAACCTAACTAATATTTTTGAATATCTACCTGTGATTAAGGAACAAATATTTTTTTTTGAAAAACACATTCTATTGTTTATTTTTTTTTCTAAAAAATGTGAATATAACTAGAATTTCTTGATCTTAAATTTTATAATAATTGCAATATTTAGTATACCATAATAAAAAGATAATGTAAACAGCTCTAGTTTATTTATAGTTATTAGGCCCTTGATTTTTGTCCATTAATAACTATTCCTATTTATAATTACATAAAAAACTAAAGTACTTGACAATAATTATAATTATTATAATCAGCTATTTATAACTTAAAAACGACTAGTGTATTTTGAAAACTGTATCATAACTATAAAATTGTATTTCAAGTCTACATCTATGTGTCACTGAATACAACGAAAAGAACAAAATTTGAAATCAACAAAAACCGTTATTGCTAAAGTGTTCCTGGTTTTTCTCCATTATTTAAAAAATTATAAAGAATATAATGAAATTACTTTCTCAATGAATCAAATAGACATTTTCTACAAGAAACTTTTTTCTTTATTGGTAATACACCTTTCATGTAGAACCATCTTTAAGTCTTTCCCCGTCAGCTATCTCCTATAAAAGGGCGTCATTTGTTTATTTCAAACAAATCTCCTTCATATTATAATTAAACTAATGGGTCTCTGCCCTAAATTTTTTGTTCAGTTCAAGAAACTACCACTAATGTTGAAGATAAGATCAAGTTTTTGAAAACTAAAAAGTTGTTCATTCAGACAGAAAAATTCGCTAAAAAGGGAAAATATTAATATAAGAGAGCTTTTCATGTTTCTATATTTAACAATTTTTCCAAATCATAGCATAGATCTTTTCAATACAATATAACACTGAATAATCATATCAATAGTAATTATTAACAAAATGCATAAAATAAAAATATATTATTCTTAAACTATAGCTTATCACATTATTATATAATTCAAATTTCTATTATTTCTATAAAGTAAATTATTTATTAACATTATAGTAATTAAACATAATATAAATTCAACCCAAAATTAACTGTTATAAAATATTTATTTTTATTCTAGATAAAATTTAATATCACAAGTAGTAAATAGGTACCTAGGTATATTATGTCCGTGTTAAAATATTTTATTGACTATACTATTATCTCTGACATAATTTTACTATTATATAAATTAATATTGTATAAGATTTAATTTGTAATTATTAACATTCAACTAATACATGGAAAAAATATATACAATTTAAAATAAAATAATGAAAAATATCTGTATCATAATAAATTTGGATCTAATCCTTCATGTACCATTTTTAATTCAACAGCACCTCTAGGTACACCAAATTGAAGCATTTTACGATATTTTAATAAAGCTGGATCCACATTTGGCTCATTAGGACTTTCATTAACAGTTGCATGTTCAACAGGTTTTGATATAATATCACCTTCAGTTTTATTAGGAGTATTAGACCTGTTAGTTGACTCATCTACGGTATTTTGTGAAGTATTTTCCAACTGAATAACAGATGGTTCCTTTGTTGATATGTGTTGTGGCTCTATTTCTTGAAGTTCAGGTACAGAATTTAACTATACAAACAAAAAATGAACTTTTAATATCAACAATATTAACTATGATTCACACTTAGGAGTTGATACCTTTGTTTCTAATATACACAGAGATGCAGAAATTTTTTGCAGCCGTTGTTCGGATTTCATCATTTTTGCCTCACAGTGGGTGATGAAATTATTTAAGAATTGTACTGTAGAAGTTATAAAATGATTAATATATGTAACCAATCTACGTTGTTCCATTGGGGGTACCTAAAACAAATTTAAGGTAATATTATAATATTTACAATATAATATTAAGTAGAAGGCAAGTTAAATATATTTAACAAGAAATAACCGACAGTAGTGGAGGATCAGTTTTCACATTGCTACCCCACTATTGTCATTGTTTAAAAAATAAGACTGACTTACGTTTTTAAGTTCTTCCATATTTCTGTATTATGTGGATACCAATAATTGTTGCCAAGAAGTCAAAATTCAGTTCATTTAAATTTTTTTTGTGATAAGATACTTGATTTGTTATCAATAGGACGTGGATTTTTATATAATAACAAAGTCAACATATAAAAATATATTTGTTGTGTATGTCAAAATATGAAATATTTGTATTTTAAAATTAAATTACATAAAAAAGTACTGCAGATGTAGGTTTATTTTATAATTGGTTTATATTTTATTTATTTATCTTTATTGATGTTTTCCTGAAAATAACATAATATATTTTAAGTTTTTCAAATTTAAATGCACAGCATTTAGGTCTCCAAATTGATTTGTAGTGGCTAAAGAATCTTTCAATGTCGACCAAGGATAATTGGACCTATTGTATAGTTGATATATGTACATGGTGTAAATTAAATACCCATTGATGTTTTCATTTTTATTCAGAAGAATATTTCTAATAAGTTTTAACATAATTATGGTTATTGTCAATATAACTGTTACATTTAATAGGTATTCAAATACATATGAATATACTTACAATATATACACTTATTGATAATGTATTAAAAATATATAAAATAAATCTTATTTTATTATAAAACATTGGTTCATCTTTATAATCAGAATTAAGAAATGTGTTCTGTTTTACATCTTTAATATACACACAAAGCGTATTATTTATATTTCAAATTTAAGAAAACTAATATATAAGTACCATAAAATTAAGTTATGTAAAAAAATAAAATAATCAGAGAGATATTTTTATCTAAATTTGTTATTACATTTTGATTAATCCTTTTATTATTTAGAACTTATTCTCCTAGAACAAGCTAAAAGGTTGAGAAAGGAGTGTACAATCATGGTAATTAAAACATATTATCAAAGAAACGTATACTTATGAATTATTAATAAAGGATGGTTCAAAAGTAGTTCTAGATTTAAAACATTAATAATTTTATTAAAAAACAATAAATTGGGTAAAAAAGCCATACCATAGAAGAAATCAGCATTTCTACCCATTTTAGAATGAAAAACAATATCTGGTAAATGAGCGCCCCTACTGCGTTTGCATACTTGTTCTATTTCAGTAATGTTCACCATTAATCTCCTTAAGAGTTCCACATCAGTGCTTTCAATCATTTTACAAATTTCTTCCTTGAAATTGGGTTGTATTCATACATTTTTGATTGATCACCATCTCTTGAGAGAATTCACCTTGTGAACTTTTTACACTGTAAGTTAACCATTTCACATGCAGTGTGGCATGTTCTGCTAAAACCATAAGTTTGAAAAATTTGTCAAGTAATTGAAAGCCCTGATGTGGAACTCTGCAGAAGAGTAATGGTGAATTTTAATGAAAGAGTACATCCATGCATTGGTGTTCATTTGTTGCGACATATTTTTCATTCTGAAATGGGCAGAAATTCTGATTTCAATGGTCTTTTTAATCAAATTATTATTTTAAATCCAATGATACCGTTAAATCTCCAGTTACATATAAAATAAAAGTTTGAGTTCTAATTATCAGTATCTTGAAGTATTTATTTTTTTTATTGATTATGTCAAAGGAAATGGGACTATTCAGTAAAATAAAAAATAATTTAATATTTCTGTAATTCATAATACACTACTTTTACGAATATTTATCCAAGTTTTATTAATTAGAAAAAAAATGTCCTATTCGTAACTATATTTCATTTCAAATAAAACAAGTTTGATATTTTGTAAAACTGATTTATTTTTTACATATTTTGCTCGTTTTCAATCACATTTATTTAGGCTCAATATCTTAACTAATTTTATACCTTAAGCAAATTTTTTTATTATTATTAACTTGAGTACTTATAAATATTTCTTAATATGTATTTTATTATCATTATTGTTAGGACATTGACCACCTTAATTTCACAAACGTGAGACATAGGAAATTTGCGTTCAGTAATACATTCTGTATCATAAGTTTTAATATTAAGCAAATTGATTTATTACAAAACGTAAAGGTAAGCAAATTATATGTGTCTAGCAATGTTTTTTTCTCAATTTTTAATTTGTATGCATGACATTATCATTTTGAAATAATGGTATTTTACACATTGTGGATTCTTATCTTTAAGTTTAGGAATAGGTCAATTCTCTTTAATATTAATACTAATGGTACAAAATGTATTCTAATGAATGCAAATTTGCTGTCACGAGTTTCTAAGATCAAGACATTAAACAAGGGTGTGGAATACTCTGAATTATTTTTATATATCAACATAAATTTAAAACACTAAAATTGAGGCGCAGGGAATATAAATTACATATATTATAAATATGAAAATGTAAAGATTTAATTATTTATTAATTATATAGTACTTAAGTAGTAGTACTTTTAGTATATAGTACTTATAAGTACAAATGGTAAACATATTTATTAAAATATATAACATTTGACTTATTCTTAAAGTCAGCTCAGAGAAAAAAACATGTGGTTAATGTATTTTACACAATTATAGTATTATATTGAAGGAAATACTATGAAGGATTAAAAAAAAAAACCAATTTACAGTGCACTTATATATTGGTCTTAAAAGTAACAAAATAATTTTTGACACTTAAAACTGGATCATTTGTCCCTGAAAAATTAAATATTCAAATTAAATAATAATAAATAAACTACAGTAAAAAAATAGTTTTACCTTTCGTTTTTTGTCACCTCCCAATTCAAAATGTTTGCAACGTTTTAATGGAATTTGTTTACGGTATTTGCATTCAGAACATTCCATCCTTAACACAATTTTCTTGGTAGTTTTAGCCTAATTAACAATTATAAATTAGGGTAAGCTAAATACATTATTTTATTTAATATTTTAGATTTTAAGTGGAGAGAGGAATGTATTGGTTTTGCAATAAAGTATTTATTTATTTATTTCCTATTATCTGTAGACAACTTTTCTACCAGAATTTTTTTTTGCGTTTTTAATTATAGCTCTTTTTCTGAAAGGAACTCTGACTGAGGTGGTACTTTAGAGAATTGATTTTTTTATTTTATAATAAATTGGAAAAATTGAGGATTATTACGAAATGCATAATTTTCAAATAGTAAATATTACAACCTTTTAAAATATGAAAAACCGAACTGAGCTCAAAATCATTTTTCATTAGCAATGATTAATCATTGTATGCATTAAATTCTTGTTTATATCCCACCTTCTCACATACAACTGCGGGCCACCCATAATGTGAAGTATGTCAATTTTTTTATACTTGATAATTACCAGAATACACTGTTACATAAGGTATAATTTTTATTTATTTTACAAGTTCAATAAATTAAATATTTTAGTCACGTTTATGACTAACTCATATTCAAATACTTTTAGGGGAAAGAAATTTTGCAAAGGGCCATACACACATTAATTTAGAGTTCCATAGTATATTATATATTTTGTTCAAAATATTTTTCATTTATGTCTAGTGTTACTTTTTTCAATTTTGGATCACATGGCTAGAAAGATTTTTTAAATCTGTTGAATATACAATTTTATGAATTTTCAAAATCTGTGACAAAATAACGGAGTAACAGTCTGAGATATATTGATAGATGGAGACAAAGAAAATTAAAAAGGTTGAAGAGTTTTTCAATTTTGGTTACAGGATTCAAAAAAAAAAAAAAAAACACCACATTTACAACTATTTAGTAGTAAAATAAATTGTTTACCTTCTTTCTAAAAATAGGCTTAGTTTGACCACCAAAACCAGCTTGTTTTCGGTCGTAACGACGACGACCCTGGGATTGTTGACGTTCCTTTGACTTTTTGTACTGTGTTACTTTGTGTACCTTATGTACCTTACATTTCTTACAGTATGTACGTCTCTGTTTAGGTACATTAACCTGAAATCATAAAATTAGCAGGTTTATTAAAAAGGGTTCATAATTAAATAAAATGTAAATCTCAATTCAAATTTGAAATTGTATTTTAAACATAACATTATTTTTAAGCCAAGTAAGCAGCTATTACTATAATATGTAATACAAATTGTATTATATTATATTTGTAAGTATTTAATAAAATAATGTCCATTGTTCATGAAGATTTTTATTATAAGAATATCTCCCAAGATTAGCACATAAAAAATAGTTGTAAAAATGAACAAACGTGAAATATTAAATAATCAGTTATACTTAATGAAATAGAAATTAAATAACAATAATTATTATAACAGATTGGACTATTAAAAAATCAGTAAGTACAAGGAGGTATGAAATTTATTCTAAACATTTCGTACAACCATGGAACTTTTAATAAATTTAATTGTAACTTCAAAATAAAATTTAGTGCAAGAATATCGGATTACAACAATCAGTAACTTAACCAAAAACAGAGTATCGAAAAGTCAAAAGACAATACAATTATTATAAACAAATATTGGTAATTATTGAAACAACGTAAGTATAGATTAACATTAAATAAATTACATTGCTGTTTTATTAGTTACATATTAGATTGAAATGGATAAAATAAAACTTACCATTTTTCCAAATTGTTTGTAAACGTAGGTTTATAGAAGACACCTAACACGATGAATGAGAGAGAACGCTCAAACGCTTTTGGAAGATATCGACTAGAACAACAATGGTGAATATAATAGTGATAACAACAGTAAGTGTCAAAGAAGTTCTAAAAAGTACCAAACTCCTGTCGTATCATTTACTATAGAATCAAGATTGATATGTAGAGATATAAACACTTCTTATCTTGTATCATTATGATAGTGAACCGAAAAGAAATGTAACTGCGGTTATAGATATAAAATCTATGATATAAATGTATATAACATATACATTTATTTTATATAGTTGTGCAACTATAAGTATAGTATATCTACATCCATGCTTGTAACTGCGAGCTCATTACAGTTCTCATAAAACTGATAACAAAAAAATGTTTTAATAGATCACATTGACCCACACTTAAACTTAAAATCCCTAGACCATTACCATAATGATAATTATATTTTATGATTCTATTTTTTTGTATTTGTGTAATCATTGATTGAATAATACATTTTGGTGAATGTAGGTAAACTTATAAAATTACGAAAAAAATAATATTTTTAATTAACCCAACGTAATACTTTTATGCCTTGGAAATCAAATTTATTAATTGCATTAACTGCTGGGATAAGGACTACAAATATTTAAATTTTAATTCAACTTTTTATATGTTGGTAAAAAATAACTCCAAGTTCAGAGAAACTATTTAACTCGTGTTAATGATGAAGCAAATAACTACATTTCATTGCAGACTGATACATAAACTGACATTAAGTTATTATTTGCAATAATTTACATTTTTTCTCTTGGTACGAGATATTATTTTTTGTTTTTTCTTATCATAAGATAAGAACTATAATAATAATTCACTATAGCGTGCATCAGATAATTTTTTTGAGACATGACTTTGTCGGACGGAAGCTAGATGAGAACTTTGAGTTTCGTTACTGTATGTGTTAAATATAATCATAAATCCAAAGTTTCAACAAAAAAAAATTTCCAAAAAACCTATTTTTATAGATACATATAGAGTAACAAACCGTAGAGTTGGCGAGTCTTTTTTGGTACAACCCGATATCTAGATAAATAGATTCTCAATAAAATTATAACTAGCCTAATTATATTATCTAATTACATATTCTGTGGTACACCATATTACTGTATATTATTATTAGGGCTAGAGACTTTATGACCTTAAAATGATCAAAATATATGCATTATAGCATTAAAAAAAATGGATAATATGCTGTTAAAATATGTATTCAAATAATATTATAGTAAAAATTAGAAAAATATTATTATATATATACTTACAAAAAATGAGCATAACATTATCTACTCCATTGAATTTTTTCATTTCATTCATAGATAATAGATACCATGTCATCCGTGTGATGAGAAAATAATAATCTTATCAGTTCATAATTTGAAATATAAATTTACTCATAGCTTTCAGGAAATTCCTATATTTTGTTTTACCAATTTTAAGATAAATTAAATACTATTTTTGTTTAATTTTGTAAAATATATAAAAATTAAAATACTATCAAAATATGTATTAACACATGACAAAAGAGCTGAATATGCAAGATATGCATTAAAAAAAAAAAATGCCTATAAGTTCCCAGTAGATTGAACAAATTTCTATATCACTAAGATATGTTTTGAATGATTATTAAAAAATATACAAACTCCTATAGGTCCCTAACCCTAATTATTATTAAGGATTTTTCAATTTTAAAAGTAAAACAACTAAACAAGTGTTGTAGAATTTTTATTTGTAATAATAATCTTAATCTAATAATTATCTGCGTTTAATTTTTTTTCACTTAAAATAATATGTATAGGTAAAATATGTATATACATATATATATATATATATTTTGAGGTTTCTTTATTATTATTTTTTTACATCAATGTAATATATATTAATCTGCTTATTTAGCTAGTTTATTTTTTCCTGCTAACCATAATAATTTTAAATAGGTCCATGTCACGAATAAAAGATCAGGGCTGGCCATGTGGCGCTTTAATGATATAATGGTTAGATCGGACTACTTTTTAAAATCAACGAATAGTCTACAATTCCATGAGATTAGATTAAATAATAATTTTGTGTTAAAGAATATTTATTTAAAATTTGAAATTTAATCTTTTGTTTTCTGAGGGTAACAATCTTCAATCTTAGACACATAGAAAGAAAGCAAACTTTAGTGGTTAGAAACAATTTCTATTTGTAGTTGTACTCAAACTCTCAAACCCAATGAATGGTTTAAAAAATTCACATGCGATATCAATATTTTCAAGTTCAAATCTATGAAGATTTAATCAGTTGTGGTTGTAGAATTTCAGGGTTGCGAAAATACACGAGCAGTGAATCCATTTAAAAATAGTAACAAGGATATGCTTTAAAATGTCTATTGATAAATATACATAAATAAAACTAAAATAATTATTATGATTAATAACACAACTAGTTTCAAGTTAACTGTGTGTACATATTTTGCAATAGATATTATCTATTGAATTTTTAAAGTATATTAATACCAGCACATATTTTTTCAACAAAGGATATATCTATTAATTAAATAGTATTTATAATATTGATTAACAATACCTATTCTAATTTTTTTTTTTATATAACACTAGGAAAAAAAATAGTATCTAAGTAGGTTAGTATTTGATTTTACCTATTGAAATTAATATAATGTATCTAATTACTACAAACTTATATTATTATTTTATTTTCGAACTATATTTAAGATTAATGAACACATTAACAATCATTTTTTTAATAGTGTTATTTTAATTTATACTTTATTGTTATTAGTAATATTAACTTGATAAAACATTTAAGTTTGGATATTTTGCTAACATTTCATCTACAATTACTTTGCCTATTGGTAATGATGATGTAGCTGAAGGAGATGGAGCACTACGACAATGCATTATCCTATGTTTTACTAAATCTGTAGGATCATCTGATGCAATGTCAAGCACCAAGTCTTCTGCCATTGTTCCATTTGCCCACAGTGGTTGAGCTCGAACGCCCGTCGGACCTCTGAGAATTTTAATAAAGAAACACACATTAAAATTCTGGTTTTTATTTTAATTTTCAAATGGTTTACTTTTTGATATCATCTTGTTTGATGTCTGGAATGTAATTTTGTATTTCTTTTAGCTGCTTAGAAGGAAATAAAGATTTAATTGTTTCATTAATCCCAAATTTCATATGTTTTGCTATAAGTTTTTGCACACCATCTAGTCTTAAAAGTCGTAGTGTGTTTGAAATACTTATATCATTCCATCTAAACATATAAATAATACCTATTATATAATATAATAATATTCGTTAATTTCTATAATTGATAATAAAACCTGTAGCCTTCTTGTTTTAGCGCCAGAACTGCATTTGGACCTAAAAATACTGAACCATCCATTCTCAGAGTAAAGTGTACACCAAGAAATGGTAAACTGGGATCAGGTACCTTAAAAAAACAAACCTGATATTTATCTATTTGAAATAACATTAATTTAATTTGTATTTTAGATTCTGAGTGAAGCGAGGAATATATTAATTTTACTTAAATGTGTGTTCTTTTAGATTCGAAGTGGAATTTTTTTATTGGTTTTGGATCTAATGATCTATGAACAACATTTTTACCAGAAATATTGCTCCCATTATAAAATGACAAGAGATTGATTTGGTTCATTTTAATGTGTCCTACAGTGTTACCTTATGTTAATAATTTGGTCAACATTAATTTTTTTTTTTTAATCAGGTTTTGTGCAGAGGAATTTAATTATTCTCAATATGTGTCTCTTCGCACAAAACTTGAAAAAAAAAAAATTAATATTGAAAGTTATTAGCATAAGGATAACACTGTATAATCAATGGAGAATATAATTTTTTGACATCCAAAGCAATTTTAATTATAATTGGGAAAAACCAAAAAGACAACAAATACTATTTTTTCAAATTACGGCGCTACAATTTTATTATTTTAAATGTTTAAGATTATATATTTCTACTAGACATCTTTGTCCAAATTTTAAAAACAGCATATTTTCTAAAATAAAGTTTTATTTTGTTTGTGAATAAGAGTTGTTCTGTAATTTTGAGTGCATAGTTTTTTTTAATTAGACAATTAGTACAATTTTCAAAATATTCTAGCTATTTATAGGTATTTGATATTTTTGTATTTTTATTTTATTCATTAAGTAACTGTTTTTAACATTATATGATTTAAGAGAAATGATTGGAAATTTAACACAAGGTACATTGTAATTGTAAGTTATTCCTAGTGATCTGAAAAATAAATTTAAGTTTGATCAAATTTTGTTGAACATTGTAAAAATTATGGAATTTTAAAATATGTTTTACCACTTTGCAAACTTTGCTCCTCTTTTTCATTAACAATTGTTTATCATTGCGTACAGATACAAATTAAATTCCTTTCTATATTCTATTTTCCAACTTCTCACCTACAACAGTGGCCCACCCGCAGTACGAAGTATGTCAGTCTGTTTTTTTTTTAAATGAATTGTATTGTTTAATTAAACTTAAATTAGTAAGTTATAATTTATCATTACCTACTGGATATATATTGCCTTTAACAAAGTGTGATTTTTCTTTGTCGAGTAAAAGATATTCCCCTCGTATTGGTAAAATGTATGGATCGGCTTTACATCCAGACATTAATGATAATTGATCTGATTGTAAACCACCACATGTAACAACATAGTCTGATAAAATCTGTTGCTATAAAAATATATTTAATAGATGATATTAATTTTATATTGTAGTATTAAATAAAAGTACCTACATTGTTTGCAGAAGTTATCTCAATTGTTTTAGATTTTTTACTTTCTTTAAACGAAATCACTTTGAAATTGTAAATTATTTGACCTCCTAATTTTTCAAAATCGACTGCATAATGTTTAGTAACTAATGCCCAATCCACAATACCTGTGTGTGGTGAATGTATTGCACGTAAGCCCTTCAAATTTTTAATTTGAGATACAATTATATTTCATAACATTTCAGGCCAACTTACTTTACAATAAGGTTCAATAGTCTTAATATCACTACCATTTATAATTCTTATGTCAGGAGTACCATTTTCAATTCCTCGTTCAAATAAATCATTTAGACTTTTTATTTGAGATTTTTCTGTAGCAACGATAAGTTTTCCACACTTCTTGTGTGGTATATTATTTTGTAAACAATATTCATATGTCTTATACAACCCTTCAATACACATTTTTGCTCTCATTGTACCTGGTTTATAATATATACCTGCGTGTATAACCCCACTGTTGTGTCCACTTTGATGAACTGAAGGCCCATTTTCTTTTTCTACAAGTGCCACTTTTAAATGCTTATTCCGTATTAATAGTTCTCTTGCAGTGGCAAATCCAATAATACCTCCACCAATGACTAGTACATCATAATTATTTTTCAGACATTGACTGTACGACTGATTTATTGGATTTTTAAGTAATTTAATATTTCTTGTTATCATAGTAGTTTTATCTCGATTATTTTTATTGGAAAATGATTGTAATTTTCTAAAAGAAATATAAAACAAAGTATTTTAAGCAATATGATAATAAAAGCATACATACAAAATGTTGTTTAATTAAATACAATTTAATATAATTACTATGTACCTAGTAATAATTCAATTTTATTTAATTCAAAGTTTACTAACTTAAAGTTACTGTAGAACTTAGAAATTTTTTCAAAGTAAAATATTAAACATGTTATTATTATCATTATTTCACCATATGAAAAAAATATTTTTAAGTTATAAAAAAGAAGAAAAACCGTATTGTATTCTTTAACTAGGTAAATATTAGAAAAAAGATCTAAATGTACAATATTGTTTTAATATTGTATATTTGTATTTATTAATTTATTAAGGTGTTAATATTTTCAGTAAATGGTGGAAATATCAATAAAAAAATAATAATTTCTATGATTATCTAATAAAATGCTTTTTATTTTAAACGGAAGTCAAAAAAGAATTTAAAGATACTTTTTAAGAGCAGATTTTTGTAATACTTAACTAGTTTTATAATTTATTATGATATTTCAATTTAGATACAATGGTACAGTGCTGTTTAAAATAGATAAATTAAAAGCATACTTGATAGTATTGTCGATTTAAGATTGAGGTAACATCTACTATTGTAGTATTGTCAAGTACTGATGGGCAATGGCTAAATAATATATTCTGTAAATTAAAATATCGCTCAATCCTCAACCTTCAAAATTCAATCATAATATTATTATTTTATACATCTGTGATTGATACTATTTGTTATCCTTATCTTATTACTAGCAGCTGTTTTTAATCTAGTGTACTTGTGCAGTTGCGCGCCACTGCAGCAGGCTGTCAACGGAGTGATTGGATTAATTGTTGTACTTGTAATCTTAATTCGTCGAGTTTAGTAAACAATTAATAAAGTATTTTTTTGTTTATGAGTTTTTCTTTTAACTTTTATTGTCGTATTTCGAATATTTTCTATAGTGTTTGATTTGTCTGAGTATAGTTTTTCGATTTAATATACATTGATGATTTTAGGATCACTAGTGAATTTAGCCTACACAACGTTAAACGCTGCTTAAAGCTTAGTAAATTTAATTCGATTATTCTTTACATTTTCTAATTCTATTTGATACAACATTGTGCCAGACATGGAAGACGAAAACCACTGTACTGCTTGCAAAAAGCTCTTCAATACCCCAGTTTCACCAAACAAGAGTCCAGAAGAATTATATGGTTCAAACGAACAAGAGATAAAAATGCTTGAAAATTCTTTGCAATCCGAATATATTAACTTTATATTTACTGATAAATTAACAATTTGGCCTAGTATAATGTTCCAAGTAAACATATTAGGTAAAATAGTTTATGTATTAGTAAATTTATCATCACATAATCGTAATTTATTTGGATACTATATAAATGAGTGGATGAGTTAGTTTATAACTTTAAAGTAAAACGTTATAAATAATGCCACATTGTATGAAGTATTTCAAATAAATCCTAATATTCTATAACTGAAAATAACTATTTTTCATTATGTTTTTAGAGTTGGACCGGCATTTTGAACCGAGTAAATGAACAAAGTTTTAAAGAAAATGTAAATCATAAAATGGTGAATTGAGATCAGAGATCAGGTTAAAAAACTTAATTGAAACAATTTATTTCTATAATGAAGTAAAAATTAAAATCTAAAGAGCAATACTAATGAAAAGATTATTGTGTATATTGTCATCGTCATACAAAAAGTGACCATAAGCAACAATATGTTCAAATAGTCCCTATAGTTATCCTTCTACTGTTAAAAAAAAGTGAAAATTTAAAAAATATATCAAGTTGTAAGTTGTATTTTGACTAAGTGTTTAAATTTTTGTTTTATGTGGAAAAATTGTCTAAATTATTTAGTCAGTTTTTACATACATTTAGTGTAATATTCAAATATGACCAAGTGCACTTGGTTAGTTTTGTTACAACACAATATAACAATTGCTTGTTGTATTATAATAATATGATTAATATTTTACCTAGGTAGTTACTTGTTAATCACAAAACTAAACAAGTTACTGTGATAATAATAATGATATAAAAATATTATGTTTATTATATTATTTCATTTTTAAAGAACTATGTTTCGTTATTTTAACTGTAACATACATAAGTTTCTGTGATGATACTATAATTATTATTATAAAATTAATAAATTATAAACATTTTTTTTTATTTATACTAATTTTAAATAATTTGTTAATACTATTTCATACTTTTCTTAAATAAATGATTTGATTAATTCAGTAAATCTTGAAGTTAATTAGTTTTACTTTTGATCAAGTTATTTTGAAGCCAGTTGATCATTTTTTTCTTCTCGCTTTTTTAAACTATTTCCAAGTTATTATTAAACATAAAATTGGAAAATTCAGGGTTAAAATTCTTTACTTTTTTTCACAGATTTTTAAGAAAAAAATTGTTAAAATCAAATAAGTTTATGAATTTTCAGATTCTTGAATATTCAATTGTAGTTTACAAAATATTTCACTTGGACACTTTTTGTATGATGGTGACGATATGTAGGTAATATTTATGTTATGTAAATTTCCTTAACATTTTTATTTGTTATTTTAGATGCATGCATTGGTGAATGGACCTTAATGTACATATATTGTAACAAAATTAAATAAGCAAGAAGTTATAATTAGAGATCAGATTTATATGATCTATTATTTCCTTAAAATATTCTTGTATATGCATGTTAATTCTTTTAATTTTTTAAGTGTGATGTTTCATAAAACACAAAATAAATAATAGCAAAAATATTTATAATAATTACTTAAAATTGCATAAAATTGGGTACCTATTTAATATTTAATACTTTTTAAAAATGTATATTCCCCTACCTTTCCTAAAAAAAACATATTTAATGTATGATAGTAAAGTTTTTATACTATAGTTTTTGTACGCTGTAATACAAAATATATTAAATAAAATATTGAATTAGGGCTATTATTATTTTTGTTATTTATCTCTTGTATTCTAATTTTAATGATAACACTTCATATTAATAACCAATGAAGTTTTCTCTTTATATGTGATAATAATAATTCAATTGGAAAATGTATAGAATAGAAACTATTATACAAATGCATACTATAAGCCTTGAACATACAAAATATAGTTAACAATAACATAAATTGATGTAAAGTCTATGGTTAACAATTATAATGATCACGTTCGTTTTATAATTTTTTTAAAAATGTATAAAAAATCAAAGAAATCATAACTAATTATTGGTTTATTTTCAATAAGTCCGACATGAACTTGTGAAGCGATCGAATGATGGTGACCAAAGTTCCCTAATTGAAGCAATTTTAGAATTAAATTGTAGTATTAAGTATTCAGATAATATAAATTACAATACACCTAAGTAGAAATTACGTTTTCTAACCGTTTTTATTTATCTTTATCGTTATTTATTATTATCCTTATCATTTCGAACAATACTGTCATCTAGGCTTTCTAATGGCAACATTTTATTTATGTAAACTAGAAAAATTAAGTAAATGAGGAGGAAATTAATCTTTATCAATAAACTTCGATTTATATGAAAATCATGGTTTAAGATATAAGTGTATCTTTAATCCTGATGACAATGCAGAAAATATTTTAATGATTTTTCATTTCATGTTATCATGGGGAACAACTATCTATGCTCAAAATGTAAACGAACGGTCTTAGAATAATTTGTTATGCGATTACTAATATCGTGTATGAAACCAATAACCATAAACATAAGTTTATTGTCGATGGTCTCTGGTATGAAATAATACGCGCGATTTGATAAAAATCATTATCTAGTACATTTGGATCCAAAAAATACAAATTTACATATGTAATATTGTAGTTCAATATTTCAATGTGATGCAAAGTAACTTAAAAATTGTTATATTCTCTTTTTGAACTTGGAAATAATTATATATTTATTTTATTGTACACAATTTTATTATCTCGTAGATAATAAATCAAATATTAGTATGCAAATACTCATATTACCGGTCAGTAAAAAAAAACGGTTTATATCAGTATTAAAAAAAGGTTTTATCATGAACTCATTAACGGCTCTTATCAGTACCTGCCTACCGGGAATAAACGACACAGTTACCTTATTCTTAATAGAGATAGTTACTTTAAAATATATACCTAGGTTTTAAATTTTTAATAATTTAATGTGGACATAACAATATTATATATTTCATCATTTTCTCAAATTTATAGTAGTCATCAGTCACAGTTAGCTGTTAACAACTGCTAAAAATCAATTATCAATCTATATTAAGATAGAGTAGATAAGTATGTCATTTATTTCAAGTAGGTTTATTGATATAAATAGTTCTTTTTATACTGTCTGGTCTCGTATTTTAATATTATATGAGTGTTTAAAAATATATTATGTGTTTTAATGGTACAATTAAATTGTTTGGATCCAAACGGTCAAATTATTATTGATAACAGTCTGATAAGAAGAGCATAAAGTAAATACAACTAATCAAGCATATGGTTTTATAAAACAACAGGCCTTTTTATTTTATAGACGTTAAATTTGTTTCTTTTAGTAAATTCTCTCGTGATCGATCTTTGTTTTTACAACATGATTTTCTTCAAATCAATTTGGGAAATCTGTACATTTTATGATAAAATCTGAACCTAGGTAACACTGTATGCAGCGGTACTTGCGTGTAGATGCCATCAGAGTTCGTTAGTGATGGGTAAACAAAATGTGTGTTTTCATCGGCTAATCGGCTAACAATTCGGCCGTCGGCGTTCGGCCGCTTAGTTTTTGTCTAGCGTGCGTACTGTCTTGTTGTGTTTATTTACTTTGGTCGTATTGTTTTTCGTTTTATGTTTTTAACAGAAAAATTTTTCCGATAGTCAATACTAGAAACCGACTGAAGAGCATTTACACGGTGTACCATTGCGATGGTAGTAAATCAAACGTTTTAGCCAGTCATAACTACCGGATTATTCCAGAAGTTTTCTGATCTTTTCCTGTAGGACTTTGCGTCGGCCATGGAAGACGAACTTCATTGTGCCGCATGCAAACAGCTCTTTAACAACCCGGTATTATTGCCATGTTACCATGCTTTGTGCCTTAATTGCGCTGTTCACATGCAACGTCCTCTAGAACCGGCTGCTCCACAAGAAAATAGCGGCAACTCTACAACTAGCAGCAGTAATGAGTCACATATATCCGATTATCATCCTGAATCAGATAAACTATCCATACTCAGCGAGACTGATAGCGGTGTGGTGTGCAACAGCCGGCCGAATAGCTATGTGGGTACACCAAACATCAACGGAATTGTGTTTCCTCCGGTCACAGCTGGTTCATATTCCCTGTCGTGTCCAGCTTGCAAGAAAACTGTTTACTTTGACGATAACGGTGCTCACAACCTGCCCAAGTACAGGACTATGAGGAATATTGTTGACCGTTACGGAGAACTAAGGCATATTATTCCCAAGTGCCAGTTGTGCGAATGTGAACCAGCTGCAGATGCTACAGTCTTGTGTGAACAGTGCGAGGTTCTGTATTGTGATTCTTGTCGTGAGAACTGTCATCCATCTAGAGGACCACTGGCCAAACATAATCTTCTAGAGCCTTCAGTCGGCAAGGTGGCGCTGAGAAATAAAATTAGAAACCGAGACATAATTTGCAGCGAACACGAAGAAGAATGTTTGTCAATGTATTGTATGGTTTGTAAAACTCCAGTCTGTGCTGTGTGTATGCATGATTCAAGACATTCGAGTCATGACGTCCAAGCCATTAACACCATGTGCAAAGCTCAAAAGGTAAGAATCTTTTTTTTTAAACTTTAAATCTTAATAGGTACCTACTTAGTTATAGAACATAGGTTTAAATTTGACAAATACCATTGGAACAGAAGATCTAAATAGGTAGCTAAGTAAAAAATATCTTATTACCTATGTGGTATGAATTATTTATTAGTTTGTTTCCCATTTTTTTTCTCAGCCAATTGAATTGTATTCCTTAATATTTTATAAAAGGTATCTATATGAAATTTTAGGTAAGAACATTGGTATATACAATTATTTACTTGTATTACCTGTGTGTTATATTCTTCTTTAGTTTTTAATTATTGGATATTAGAATTTGTTTTATGAAACAGAATTATTTTGTATAAACATTTATTATGTTTAGTTTTTTTTATTTTTGACTTATCTAAGTATAAGTTTTAGATACCTACCTACCTTATTTAATTCATTGGTTAAACATAAAATTTATTAGAATACTTAGATAAATATTTGTTTTTAAGTTAAATAATATGATTAGAAATTAGAATCATCACCACAATATTTTTAGTAACAATTGATATTTTCATTATTATGTTTATTGTTTACTCTTGTATTTATCTTCAAATTAAATAGTCAAATATATAACTAAAGGTTACCTATTAAGTATTATTTAAAGGTTATTTAAAGTGTTTTTCAAATCAGACAATACATATAAAGATTTTATTTGGATCACCAAAATCTTTATGTGCAATTGTCCGGAGAGTAGAATTAAGCAATACCAAATATACATTATATTTGTATAAAATCACTCCTATTTTTAATTTAATTTGTTCAGAGGGTGATTAAAATGGTGTCTTTAAATTGTCTTTGATTTATATATAACAACAAATATATTATATAATAATATGTTGATGAATCTAGTCTATACCAAAACAAGAGTAAAAACAGTAATAATGTGTAAACTACAAGGATACTATCTACTGATTGGGGTTTATAAATAAACAATAATATCAGGGATGATACTTACACTTTTGACATCTATTCAATTAAGAAGTTTTCCTAATGGTATTTCTAACGATAGCTTTCAAATTCAGGATTCGGTTTGCGTAGAATTATAACTCGCGAGATTCGTTTAACATTTTAAATAGGTTAATCATTATAATCAAATAGAGTTTTATCCTTGGATATTTAGTTAAAAATGTATCTGTATATGTGTGAAGTTCCAAATAGATCACACACATTTATCCGCATTTTGCTTGCGGGATAAACAAACTGTTATTCTCGGTGTTATTAATCTGGTTATTAGTGTTTACCTGCGCTACTTTTAAAGGATAAAACCCGGTCGAGTTGTGGGTATCAACATTCAGACATAATTTATGAGACAATTTATTCAAATAAGTAGTTGCAATGACAGAAGTTCAAAAACGTTAACAAATAATAAGAATCATCGAGTGAGATATAAGAAATCTGATATTCTTTAGAGTAAATAGGTATTATTTTGTAGGATAATGTTTCGTAGGTAAGTGAAGTTTATATTATATTTGTGGCTAATAAATATGATAAACTTACGCGTTTTAAAATTAGTCGTTTATTTAATTTCACAGGCAATGTTTTTGAGTTTGGTGATCTGGTGTTATATTATAAGAGTGATTGTGATTGATAAGTTTTCGAAAGGGCTAAGCTGTATTTTATTGTACTGGAATAATTTTACGTATAGAAAATCCGTAGATTTATTTATTACTCGCAGCGATATTATTTATCCACTAATAAATAAGAAGCAAAGTATCCATTACAAATTTCGATTTTAAATTCTGTATAACGAAACCGAAAAAGTTTTTTGTTTTACAAGCAGTACCTGTGTATATATAATAGGTACTAGTACCTAGTAGAATTTTTTTTCGGAAAACACACTGAAGTTTTAAGAAATGCTTAACAGTTTTTACCTTACTCAGTGACAGATAGGTAAAACATTTATGGGTCATGTGTAGGATTTCTCTATTTGATACCTCGAAAATTGCTAGGAAAAAAATAATTCAAACCAGGGTTGTAAGTTGTAATTCTAAACTAGATTAAGTACTTTAAATCGTGGTTTGAACCCAATTGGCTGATTCGAACTTTGATTTTGACTGTCCAAATATTATTAATATTATAATTATATGTGGCTATAATATGTTTACATACTCTATATCGTAACATAGTGTTCTTTTTTAAATAATATACTCAATGAGTGTACTTTGGCTAGAATGCATTTTAAAAACAATTTTTTTTTTTTTTGAGAATTTAAACTTCGGGTTTTTCGCGAATGCAAATGACGATTTAGTACCATCATTTTAAAATAATTACGTAGGTAGATTTATATTTTTAAACTTTATAGTATACTTACGGGTTGTTTCGAATTATCTGGTTATTTAAGTTTGTTTATATTATGCGCAATTCTTTATGTTGATAAAACTTTTAGAGTTTAGTTGCGAACTATAGATGGACAGAGCTTAATTGGCCAATGGCTATATAATTCTGCTAATTCCGAGGCAAATTCTGAATTTCAATACTAATTCTTCACGTGTTCGGAGAAATGTAGTTGTTTGTTTGAAACATGTTTCTAAACCGTTATTTTCGAGGTTATTATTTTGTTTTAAATTAATATTTTTACTTTAATTTTATTTGTTTAATAATGTTATATAACATTCCGTTAAGTAAAACACGGGGTAAAACATCATGATAATTGCTGCGTAAAAAAAAGTTTTTAGTTTTACATTATACTAAAATAGAATAAATATAGTTTTAAAAATAAACTTCTGTGCTTTTCGAGTGGGTGCACAATATCTTCATTATTATTTTTAACAAGTATATACTGTGCAACGTATCGTCGTCGTCGTTCCGTAGTGTGCAGATATCAATTATTCAAGTAAATAACGCGGGGAAAGAAAAATTTACTCCTTCGGCTTCAGACTTAATGGGTTTTGATGAGTACATTTCACGAGCGGAGATTTGCTGCGGGCTGCTGCAGTCCTATCTGGAAGCGGTGTGTGGGAGGGGTGTGGGGTGGTGACTGGGAGATTCAAAGGTTGGCGGAAAAGCAATATTCGCGTAAAGCTCGAGTCCCCGAGGGGATATTTGATTTCATTTTCAATATTATCTCCCGACAAAAGTTAAACATTGTAAAGGCGCGGACGAAGTCTTGCTGTTATAGTCGCGGAAGCCATTTCTCTGACGTTTACTTTAAAGTTTAAGTGGAGTTTATGCCCTTGTTTATAATATTATATTATATGATGATATGAACACTGCGGATCGATATTGAAACGCTTTTATCCATTGCATTATGAATCGCGTATAAAGTACAGTAGAATATTTTCAAATACTGTTTCGTCACTATATCTATCGACATTTTTATTGTTTTCGAATTACAAATCTTTAAAAAATTGTCCGTTTGAAAATCCAAGACTTCGTACTCGTAATATTCAATTTTTCTAATTTTATTCAACTCGAAAAAATGCTAACCATTTCTAATATTGTGTTGTTTGATTTTTATATTTTTAATTTAATAATATTATCAAGGCCTGTTGAAAACAAATTGAAAACCTAAGTGCTTTATTACATACACACGTATATAGAGAAGTCAAACACGTTTCTTGTATCCGCACCGGCTTGTCGACGTTCGTCTGAGTTACATTTTGTAAGTAGTTTTCCATTATAAACTTCTGTGTAGCGACCTAAGACCTTAGAAACTTTGTAAGTATTGTTATGGAACCTTTTGGCTAAAACTTTGGGTGTAAGTATGTACATGTTTCTGGTTATAACACGATGCCTCATCATTGTCTATTTCAACGTTCTCCGCCAAGTATAATGATTTATTTTTAAAAACTAATACTCCTAATTATTATATTTGTGTGTAACGTACACTAGTAAAAAACAAAAAGGAAACTGCGCACTTAAGTATTTTGTAGATATATTGTGCATGAGTTGTTTTTATTCAAAAAATAAAACAAATTATATAGAGGGGATGGGGGAATCAAACAATCCAACAAAATAATAAAAAAACTCAGGAAATAACAAAACAAAATATTTTTACGGGCGTTGAAAGTTTGAAAATGAAATGTCGTCCTTTTCACTCATAATGCCTATAGTACGATATAAAACAATAATAATTAACGAATCTGCGAGACCGAATTAAATTTCATTAGTTTGAAAAGGACTTGTACAGTACGGTGGGGTTTGTTGTTAAGTTATACAAAGCGCAAATTTATGGACCCTCGTTGGTGCAGTGTATATATAGTTTATATTGACGAATAATTATAATAATGTTTTGTATTGGACGAGGTTGGTTTTTTATTTTTTATTCTTCCCAGATTTAGAAAATAGGTCACTGCACATTATTATTATTTAGTGGTCGAACGGTTAAATAAAAACAAATAGGGACGCGTTATTGATGCTATGGTTGTGCTAATACTGTTGTAGGTGAAGTAGGGAAGGTAAAGAATAAGATTTACGTAATTTATATCTGTACTAAACGATAAGTCATCATGTCTAACAAAATATGATTTTGATCGAAATTCGGTTACCTATTAGTTATACATGCAATGCCGTGATTTTTACGATTTTTTTCTAAATTTGAACTCAAAACGCTTATAAAAAAAACTACTACACCACGCTTAGTCTTTTGACTACTTTAAGTTCAACTTACGATGAACTTGGTGTACAATTTTCAAAAATGTTCAGCCAAAACAATTTTATCCTTATAAAACAAAAAAAAAAAAAAAAAAAAAAACAGGAAAATGTCAAATATCTATAGTTATAGCAGAGTAATTATTTAAAAAGTCGCTAGAATTTGTTGAAAATTTGATCACGTCTAAAAAAGGTTAATATAAATATTCGGTAAAAGTATTGGCTCTTTATATGAATATTTTTCAACAAATAGCTTAACAAAAAAAAAAATCGAAAATAATTAAACCGTTATTTCCGTAAACTTTCCCGTTTTCGTACGGGTTTTCCCAATTATTAAGAATATTACAAGAAAATTCAAAAAAACGACTTCCCTAGTGCACCAACTATGTTCAATATGTTTTTAGATTTTTTTTTTAAAATTGAAAATCATAGTAATATTTAAGGTAAATAAAAAAAGTGTTAACAGATAGGAATAAAAACACATACGTCATTATAGATAGTAAAACCAAATTGGTTTTATTATTGTATCGGTGTAATCAATACCGTACCTCGCTGCGCTCAGAATCTAAAATAGGCATCACGATTAAAATATTATACCTTTTTGTTTTTTATGCGTTTCTTTGACAATTTTTCGTGTATACTCGTAAGTAGGTATACAGAATAATCGTATTACGCCCGTTATTATATTCATATCGAACTCGTACGTATTTTTCACTTATTTACATAAAGAATTAACACCTACATACCAGCTACGCAGTATAATTGTATTATTATTATAATATTAGCATCTGTAATCTAAAATGTAAGTCTTGTGCACGTGCATATTCCTGTATATTATTACAGTTTCTGTTTGTGTAATGTTAAGTTAACATAACATAATCATTATTAACTATAATAAGCAATGATTTCAATCCTCGTTAAAATACTCATTATTGTTATTATTATAAAATACGTCTAGGTACCTACGTAGGATTAAATTCAATCATCGTTATAATTTCGTGCGCCTAATAAAATCAACTATAACATTATATTATTTCCGATAGGTGTTTCGCATTTCATAAACGTTAGGTTATCTTTTTATTTATAAACAACGGATAATTTTGAAAATTTCTTATATTTTTCGATTGGGTACCTAAAGCCATAGAGAATTACTTTTGTTTTTATGTATTGAAATGTAGGCATAATATCGATGAACGGGTTTTTTCGAATTTTCGATCCGCGTTTTTATTAGTGAATTGAATTGAGTTTATTTTTGAAACAAAAATATTTATTTTGATTTTATCTATACGGTGAGTCGGTGAAATATTATTTTATTATTTTTAATAATATAAACGGTTGCCTACCTAAATATTGTTGTTGGGATTTTTTTTTTTTTATTTTACCTTACTGAAACGTTAAAATGGTTTAAAGCCAAAAAGCTGTCGTCTTATGAAAAAAAAAAAATACACACATATATATAGATAAATATATGCGTATAAAGCGATAAATAAATAATGTATCGTATATTTGGGAGAAATTTTAAATCTTATTCTAAACCGCGAAAAATAAAATATTATATTTTAAGCATCCTTGAAAAATATTTCCTTAGGTATTTAAAATGCTTCTACAATTATATTAGGCGCCTGTACCTATAGTATATACATATTGTTTTCCAAACGACTCAAAAGATATATTTTCCTTGTTTTGTCGTGCGATGTCGACATCGCATCAGTTATTTCGAGTTGACACATAATCTGTATATTATAGATTATAATAATGTATAGGCATCAATCATACATTTGCATGTGTCATTTTATTGTTCTATACGCTGCTTATACTTACTCACTATACGAGACATAATCGTGGAAAGTCAATATGAATTCAATGTTTTTTCGTATTTCGTTTTATAGGGGTTTTTAGGTTGCAGTCGTATTGCTTTATATCGTTATCCGTCATATAGGCGTGTAACATATTTTATTAATGTCGATTTTTCGGAAGTATCCGTTTTTTTTTTTTCAAATTGTATTTAAGTCTTTAATAATATCTTATAATATATTGTACGCGGACAAGTGCAGCAATTCAATATATTTTATTCAGTTATCCGCCAATTACATTCAGTTTAAAATTGAAATAAAACCATCGAATGTTTTCATGAAAATAAAAAATCCAAATATACCAGCCATTATTATATTATTATAGTCAAGACAGACACATTTTATTATCTCGCGTAGTTATACGATAGAATCGAAGCGTATTATTTTTGTATACACACACACACACACACACACGTGTATATATATATAGACATCGTCGGTGTATTTTTACAACGGTTCTATATTTGAACAGTGTCGCAATAGCGACGAGGGATAAACGTTTTGGAAATTAATTGCTCTTCCGCGATATCGGAGATGTTTGTTTAAAGCGGGTTTGCTTAAGATATTAAAAAAAAAATAAAAATAATAATAATAAAAACGAGCACGTCAAAATTTCAAACAAAAACTGCTTCTATATATTATTATATTTAACAATTTCTTAAAGAGCGCATCTTCTCTTTTCCCCATCATACTATACTTCTTCAAATCGTTCATCCGAGAAACGTATACCCGATGAGTGCCGACGTTGGTTCGTACATATTATTATCAAGAGTTCGGGACTTGTAGTATTGAAAATCAACAATCGCTTAATAAACACTACTGAAATAAGCGCTAAAAATAAAACCTAATAAAAATAATTTTTTTCTACTTATATCGAGGCAAAAAAGATCTTCAACATTTCTTCTTTGAATTCATGAATCTATTTTGAACCACACTCGTGGATTTTTATTGCCCCATGTTTACCGATAACCAACACGGCATATAGATAAGATAACATGAACAAAGAATTAAGAGTTGGATGATAGAATACAATTGTAAAATTATTTAAAAATCACAGGGGGGAAAAATCTAGGTTTTGTCAGTGGCTTACTTAATTGCTAAAAGTATGCAAAAAAAAAAAACAGGGAAAACTAATAAAAACCATATTTTTATTTTTTTAACTAGCGGAATAATATTAATAAAATGACGGACATACTTTGCGCGATGGGTGGGCCACTGTTGTAAGTGAGAAGTTTGGAAGGTAGGATATAGATCATTTTTATAATCATATTTAATGATCATTTTTAAACCTAATCATTTACGTGATTATTATTTTTAAACGATATAAATATCAATAACACTCTGTTAGATTTAATGACACGCCAAACAAAATAAATTAAATGCTAGTTGAGGTCCTCGAAGCTTGAATATTATGATCCGGAACGAGGTGCCTGATCGCTTTTAACAACTTTTTACACTCGAGTTGGAGTAATGGATTTTTCCGACGGTAAATTGACGGGGAGTGCGTTAAATCTCATCTAATACATAGTATTATTGTACGGTGTAATCTCGCATTCAAAGTCATCGTAAGTGCGTCTGTACAGCTATCGTACCTTTATTATATTATAGAAAGCGAGCAAAGGTCGCTAATATAATGTATTGTAAAAAAATAAAAACTCCAGTCATATCGTGTCGGACGCAGGCGTGTGTGTGTGTGTGTGTGTGTGTATAAGAGAGAGAGAGAGAGAGAGAGAGAGAACGGAGTAATAAATCCGCCCGGAGGTGAAGGTATAAACTTTTTATGCCCTCCTAATATGTAATAATAATATATGTTGCGGGCCCCGTTCTCCGTTTTTTATTTTTATCCGCGTGTATAGATATCGCGGTATAATATGTAATATGATAAAAATAATGAAAAAGAAAAAAAAAAGGATTTGTAAGGAAAGGTGCACGAGGTCGGTTCGTCGGAGACGACGACGGCGGGGCAAAAGGGACGGCGCGGTTGGCGGCGAATTTCGGATTGCTTTTGAGCAATTTCCGCTTGGATTCCATCGCGCGCGGTTAAGTGCTAATCCATCGTGTTCGACCCGCCGTCATCGCGGGTGATTGGTCGATCGGCCGAAAAAGGCCGCGTCAACCGTTCGCCCGCGAAATGTGAAAACGGACCGTTGCTGTGTGTTCGACCGTATTCACGACGCGATCGTGCGGTTCCGACTTTCGATCAAAGAGCCGCTGGCGTCCGGACGGCAATATGTGTACCGGACTGCGCGACGCGAACTCGCGCACAACTCTACCGGGTAATTCGGTTAATTTTAATACGTTTCGTAGACCGTGCATAGGGTGCATAGGATATGATTGTGATTTCGCACGTTTTTAGATTCTGGGCGCGGCGGAGGAGGAACGTATTAGTTTTTACCGTGATGTATATATGTATATATATATATGTGTGTGTGTGTGCGTGTGTTGTTTTTCTGTGTCTGTTATAAACAATATTTCTACCGGAAATCTTGCTCCGATTATTATCAATAAGTGCAGCGAATCGTATCTATATACGCAGTTGGCGAGTCGGAAGATGCCGTTTTTCGATTTATTTTCTCCGCAGTTTTCTTTAAAACCGGGAATAATTTTCATTGCGATTTCTGGGAACGAAATTACATTTACGTATAATTCATATGTATAGCCCGCCATTACTCGCTGTTCTTTTATTATATAATATACACTCAGAGGTATGGTTATAAATTGTTTAATTATAAGTAATTTTCTCGATTACCTATAAACGGTCATCACTCGGAGCAGCTCGAGGTTATGAGGTCGTATGTTGTTTTCGGTTAAATAAAGTTAATTGTTATTATTCTGGTTATTATTACTATTATTGTGTATAACTGCAGCGCTTAAAAGAGATGACAGGAATCGATAATATAGTTGGTCGGTAACATAATAATTGCGCAGCGTTCGTGAAAAGAATATTTTCGATCATACTCTGGCACTAATTTTTTTTAAAAAGAAATTGGTTTGCTCTGCGACTATTTCGCTAGGCGGTTATCGGGTATATCGACTATACATTTTACTAAGTAGTATTATAATATGTATTGCTAATAGGTCGAAAGTAAAAATCGTGTAATCGGATTTTATCATATTTTTTTCCTCGTCTCTCATCTGGCCCTCCGGTCCCAGAGAGCCCGTCGATTATTGCCGTATAGTCGCGGTTATTTAGAAAAATCTTACGAAATTGTTGTTTTTTGTGTGTTTAAACAATTTTACTCTTTTGCTCTTAAACAATCCAGAAATCTTGCGCCTATCAAAGACTTTTTAAGGACTTTCCTATTGTGTTTTCCATCCGGTTAGTGCACTGGAGAGGTCATTTTTTGATTTTTCTTGTATAGTTTTGTAAAACTTGTTAAAATCGACTTGAAACGTTTTGCTGGGCAGCCGACAATATTACTCGCGATTACGATGTGACAATGATCGTATATATATTAAAATTAGAAAAAAAATAAACGGCAATAAGTCGCACTAAAAAGGGGTTTATTTTTATCGGTCACCATCGGGGTTAGTTTTTGCTGCTTTTTTAATGTATTCAGCTGCGATGCGTACGTATTGATTTTGTATAAAAAATATTGTCTTGTAGCTTTTTTTTCGAATTGGCTTTTATTTCGTATATTGTTCAATGTTATTTATTCATCAAAAGTATGTCGTGGCTTTTTTTTTTTTTTGGTACTGTAATTACCAGGTAAAAGGGGCATTTTTTATTATTATTATTTTTTTTAGTTAAGAAACACAATGTCTATTATACAGTTCAGTAAAGTAAACTTATTTAACAACCACGAATTATTATTATTTCTCGGACTTTTATTTCGTTTTTCTGTCCTTTTATTTTCTACTGCGTTTAATAAATTATTTTTACAATTTATGTATACATATTATCCGAGTCGGAGTATATTATTACTATATACGAGGACAATTATTAATTAATTCAACTTTCTTTTCGGAACCGGCCTTTTTTTATATTTTAGTTCATTTCAATTATGTTTCTTATTATTTCTTATATATTATTAAAAAAAAAAAACTAAAACGTATTTTTTTTCATAACGCACCCGTTTTGCTTTTATCTTTTTTATCGTGGTTAAATTGTAAAAAGTTTAAATTTAGGCCGCGTTTAGCTATTGAGTCACAAACTCCGACTCGTTTTTTTTCTCACGGTTATATACATGCGCAGAAAACAATGTAACTATAATATAATGAACGTTAATTAACTGCGAAATTATAACCGAAAAACGGGATTTAAAGTATATTACCTATCTCATTAAAACGCATAGTTTGGGAAAAAATTATTATTATACATGTGGATAAAAATACGCTAGCTCTTTTCGTGCAGCTACCTATATATATATATAAATACATATATATACAGTTAATTAAAGGAATATAATACCTGCGCGAATGAATGTTTATTATAAGGAGTTAAATAAAAATGCGAAATTTTCATGTTTAAGTATGACGATGAAAATTGTTATTAAAAAATTGCTTAGTTTTTAAAGACATTTTTTATGATAATTATTGATGTCGACGCACTCATAAATTTGATTTACATTATATTATACTCATGAATATTGCACAAAAACTGAACATTTTAATTTCCGAAGTTGAATTTTTAAATAACTAAAACATGTACACGAATAGGTACAACACGAGAGTTTATTACAAGGAATAAAATGACATGGATTTTTATAGTTAAATATTTATCGAATTAAATGCCTCATTAACATTATATAGATAAGTACGTTTCATTATTGTGCGTTTTTGCAATAAAATTTGTGTATCTATGTATATATATATGTTTCGTTTCCAGATAACACTAAATTTTTCGACCGGATGACTGGATTTTAATTTCATTTTCTGGAGATGACAGTGGACACTAACATACACACTTAAGCATAAATTGTAATTTTTTCATCTTTTCGACGCTCACATGTGCAATACAAATGGCTTTAATATTAATACTTCTTTTTCACACTTGATATTTAGTCTTTTTTTTTAAAGTGACTTTGATCAAAATATTTTATTTTATCTCAAAAATATAAATCGTATGCTATTAATTTATTATATGATTATCTTCACAAAAATGTTCAGAAAAAAAATAAATCAAATCTCTTCATTTTTAAAGTCATGCAAATAAATTGTTTGATAAAACGCTAAAAAATCCTATTTTTTAACCAATTTTAAATAACTGTACCTCGGGTAATTGTTGCGATAAATCTATATATATATATATTTATAAAATCCAAATACTACTAACTCATTGACCGTTGTATTTTAAAAACTACTCAACGTATGGACTAGAAATTTGAAATAGTGGTTCATCTAATACTTTCCTCTTCAATAAAAAAGGATTTTTGAAAATTCAATCCCTTAGAGGGTAAAATAAGGGTTTTTAGAATAAGGTATATTTGGTACGAATATCTAATTGCTTATTTATTTATTTTTGTTTATTTAAGGGTTACTTTGATGTTACGGAAAATAAAACTATTATAATTATTATTGTTAGTACTATTATTACTTACTATTATTTGCACTATTAAAATTTCACAATAGAACACATTTAGTCCGCCGAAGGTGGACTAACCACTTTCCACCTATTTGTTTTCATTCAATTCTGACACGGCTAAAACCAAAAATTAATAAAGGTAAAATGATGATAATAAAAATTGGCATGGACAACGCCGGGCGCGGAACAGCTAGTAATTGTATAAATTAATATTGATTAAATAAATAGGACTATTCTAATAAAGTGTTAAAAATAGGTATGCTATTCAATAAAAATAGGGGTTAAATATTTTAAATGTATTCTTATAAGTGTGTATTTAAGTATCCCTTATCACCTCCTACAAATGGAATTTAAGTCCAAGGTTATCCAGGCGAAATATTTAGTGTTGGCTAAAAACGCGAACTATATATTATTATATAATACATATATGCAGTTTAATCACTTGATTACGCGCAGTAGGTAAAATTCTAAACTTTTTTTTTGTAAAAAAAAAAAAAAAATGGAAGATTAATGTAACGTTTTTTGACATTTTTGTGAATATATTTAAAATCCTCATGTATGCTGGTTGAATACTCGATTTTGTAAATTCGTACACGTGTATAATAGGTAACTATATGTTCATTTACATTTTAGAATTAAAAGCGTTTCCTTTTTTAATTTAATGAAAAAAAAAAAAAAAATTGTAAAACGTGTAGGTACTTGAACTACAAAAAATACGGTTTTCTTACCTTTTCTATTATATATATTATACATAATATTATGTTTGTGTGGTATTTCGCAGATTTACGGTCTACTGATTTTAAAAGTCCTAAAAAGTCGTGTGAATAACGTGTGTATTAGATACCTGCATTTATTATTATTTCAAATATAATGAGCTATCCAAAATAGTATGTTTAAATACTGTATACGAATATTTAAAAAAATATATTACCTGAATATATTATACGAGTAGTACATAATAAACGACACTAGAGTTTGCCAATCAGAGTTTTAGTAGGTACTAAACTTTTTGACTGCGGTTCTCATTAGGGGTGAATGGAGGCCGTAGTTGGTTAAAACTATTAAATAAAGTTCCTTCGGATGGCATAAGTATAATTAATGTTTGCAATCGAGCCCGTCGTAAAAGTTGCAGTTTCCGTAAACGTACGGTATAGTTTAATGATTGCGCTTATTCAAACTTCAAAATGTACGCAATAGTACAGTAAAAAATGAAAAAAAAAAAAATGAAAATATTGGAGTTTAGGACATAGCAGTGGGATTTTAAGATAAACTAAGGTAACCGCAGGCTTATTGGTCATCAAAAATTCAAACGTATTACCTAATATTAAAGCAACAGTTAAGAATAAGTAGCAAGATAATTCTGACATTTCCATTTTTTCTCTCTAAGGAATCAGTATAATAGCAGATATTATGTATAGGAAGTCGTTGTGATAATTTGTTGAATAAAATTAAAATAAATAAAATAATTCAGAGAAAGATATATACGTATTATAAATTATATATATTTTTTTTTTTGCGGGGAAAGCTTAATGTTTATAATATATTATTCATTTTTACTTTTATTCCGAAACCGAGCTCTTAAATCACTCCTTGCATATTATAACTTATTGAAGGTACATATTTTATATATATTATTAAAGATAATGTATTCTGTATAAAACGTGTCCAAAAGTCAGTCTACAGTAGTCTGTAATGTAACCAAAAAGCCGAAAGCCTAGAAAATATAGTTTTTGTACGACGTTAAGATTTCATTAATTCTTTACATGTACAAAGAGTTTTACATTTATTTAATTTCGCCGTAATTTTTTTTTTCGTCATTCGTATTCTATAATAATAATGAAAAAGACGGGCATACTTCGCATGATGAGTTGCCACTGTTGCTACTATTGTTGGTGAGACGTTGGTAAGGTAGGATATAGATGGGGAAATTAATTTGTATCTGTAAGCAATGACAAACTATTTCTAACTAAAAACGATTCTGAGCTGAGTTCAGTTAATATAGTGATACTTTATCAAAAGTATGTATGTTATTTATTATAATAAAATAATTAAATGTACCGATTTTCATGTTTTTCCCGTTTGTTCACATTTGCTGGGAAAAGTCGAAAAATGTCTTTCTTAAAGCACCTTCTCAGTCAAATTTACTTTCAGAAAAGGTTCTACATAGTATACATCGGAGTAAGCTTTCTGATAGAAAAAGCGTTCGCATAAAAAAAATAAAAAAAACACAGATCTTTGTAAAACCAATACATTCTTTGTTCCACTCAGAATCTAAAAAATGTTCGTGTTATAGGACCGCTTATTCGTGTTCGAATCGAATAATTTTCTTAAACCATTCGCATTTTTACTGCACTAATAAATCGTCGGAATTATACGCGAACCAGGATTTCCAGAAATATTTTCGATATTAACAGTATGTAGTATTTACTGCTGTCCTTTAGAATATCAATCAATCGCGATGCTCGGCGTGTGAAATTCTCCGAAACGATCGATTAGAAAATAATAATACATAAAAATCGGTTGACACGCGTGTCCTGTGTCACGTATCCCCGTTAACGTTTCGCTAATGAACGCGATCAATAATATTATTAATACGGTACGCGTATTGTACAATAAAATCGGTAATTAATTTTGTCTATGATAAAAAAATAAAAAATAAAACCACATAAAAATATCATATTATATGTATGAGCGCAATAATATATTCTCAGTTTTTAACTACCTGTCGCTGCAGCGGTTTAGTATTATACTAGTCGTCACAATATTTTCACGTGAATTGCATATTGTCATCACGTTTTAAGAATAATATACGGGTTGGTTTTGTTTGTTTTTTTTTTTTTTTTTTTTTTTTTTTTTTTTTGTAAATCATTTAACGTTCCGTTTGTTTTTATACATATATATTTATGTAATAATGCATTGGTCATTAAAAACGTTTGTGTGTTTTCTGTGCACTGTTTGTTTTTTTCTTTTTTTTCTATTACTACGGTTACGGAGTCGGTTAATGATTTCTATCCGTCATCATTCGCAGCAGTGCCTGCACCACGAATGCCGTATACGTATAAAGAATTTAAAAAAAAAAAAAAACTATCCAAATAATATAACTATTTATATAATAGAGCTATTAAAAAAGCGGATTTGTCGTGCTGTATTGTATATACTTCGGTACTCGCTACCAAATTCGTCGTGAGCGAAATTATTACAATTGTCGTCGTCGTTAACTTGCTCGTTCACAAAGCCATCGTGTATAATAAAAACTCGACTTTCGGCGGGATTATCGATTTATGAGACGAATTTTTATTATTTTTTTCTCATAGTGCAGGGTTACACACGCCCGCCGTATTTCATCGGTTAGTGGAGAGAAAAAAATGCGGTCTAAACTTGTTTTTGTTTCTCCTCCCACCCCAAACTCGAGGTGTCGATTACAGTTCGAAAATTCCCCCGGCGGCCGCCTGCAGCTAATAATACGAGATTTGCGGTCATGTCCGAATCCGGCGGACGACACGACTTTGAGAAACTTTTACAGTTCACACCGGATTTCGCGTTCGTGTCGGACAATACATTATTCCTGTACCCACATAATGTAATATACCCTATATTATTTTCTATTAGCTGTCCCGTTCGGCTATTTTTGTTGGACCAAAAATATCGCTGTGTATTACTCACGACTTTGCCCGCGTGTAGTTAACATGTCTGTATACAGTTTAGTGCAGTGGTTTTCAACATTTTTGGGTCCTCAATCAATAATGATAGTTAATACAAATTGAAACAAATTTACTGTACCTACTATACCTATATACTAGACGCGGCTCCTTTGGTAATAAACTACGACGCCCCTGGGAGTCGAGACGAACAAGTTGAAAAACCAATGGTTTAATGTGTTTGCATTATACACCTGTTTCGCTCCAAATTACTGCCCCAACCTCCCGTCGCAAAGCTGTTCGAATTTCCCGGGAATTAACTGTTAATGGAATTAATGGGCGCCCGTTAGGATAGGTGCCCGCGTTGACCTTTCCGGGAATATTTTGTTTCGGCACTTAAATCGCCATGCCTTTACTCGCCTCGCCGTCAGGAAACACTTCGACCTTCCCGGGAACATTACCCCTTTACTCCGCTCGTCGCCGGGAATCGTGTCCCGCACGGTTTTGCCCGTGTTAGCATTGAATGAAAACGTTTATTTTCGTATTTTTTTTTTAAACGCGTTTACCCGCGATTTCCGTGTTTCCACTCCTATCCTTGTCAAAGTTATATACGTATATAATATATATATATATATATATAGAGAGAGAGAGAGACGGTATGAAATAATATGTCAGCGGGTCGTGGATGAAACGACAACAGACACGTTCAGTAACCCTGCGAATCGAGTTTGCATCGTACGTTTTTCGCGTGTAAAACCAACAACGCGGTCGTCCGCGAAAAATATTGTTGTCGGTTTTCCGTGCGTGCGACGCAGGTGATAATTAATATTATTGTGCGTCCGACTGTGTCGGCCTTGAAACGTTTCATCGACGGACGAGCGTAACGGACGAATAGCCGTCTTGACCCGCGTCCAGCAGCTGCCGTCGGCCGACCGATTCGCTGTTTTGCGCCATTTTCATGGAAGGGCCGCACATATGAATTTATTACTGTGTCCGTGTGTATAGCGCGTCGGCTATTCGCATAGCGTTTATTTTCGTTTTGGCGAACCACGTCAAAAAGCCACCCAGCAAATAAAACCACTGGACATAATGGACCACCATGCACAACCTTATATGCTTGGCTACACGGCAATATGTGGGTCTGTGCTTGGGTGCGGAATTTATATCGTCAAAATGCCTCACGATATAAAGCCACTCGATAATATAACAAATTACACTATATCTATAACCTGACCAATCGTCGACCCTCTGTTATAATAAATCGAAATTTTTACTCGACACAAATACCGTGAAAAAAAAAGACTTCCTAGGATAATGGAGACGGGCGTAACTACTGTTAAGTAACTAAATAACAAATAACATAATTGAAAAATATTAATAGCATTATTTTGAATGATAACCGCTTGGAAAATCAAAAAATGACCTATGAGTACCAATACGGACAACATTCTCTTTCAGAAATGGTGCCGCGCGTACATATCTGAGAAAGATTTCTGGTAGAATTTTCGTACACAGGATAAAAAAATAAAAAAAAAATAAAAATTTTAGTAAAACAAATACATTCTTCGCTACACTTAGAATTTAAAACTATCATTTTCAAATACTGTTTATGGTTGGTTGGTATATAAAGTTATTGCTGGATTTAAATACGGTTGGATAGTGTTTTTTTTTTCACGTGGCATTTTGTCGGATCACGATGATGGTGTTATGTCGATTGACTACATCGTTATCGCGTGACTTGATGCCGAGCGGTTATTTGTCTGGTGGCTTTATTGTAAGGTATCGCCGTTTTGAGAAGTACGCGGCGCCACTGTGTCTAGAACGTGGCCAATGTCCATGTGCGATGTTAATATTTATATTCTAGTGTTACCATATTATTATACTCGTAGGCATCTTAGACATTCATTATAAGTTATAACACTGCAGTTGTTGTAAAACCGTACGACCTCTAGGTGCCACATTATCTCGAGAAGTATAATATTATAATACAAGATCAGTATCTTTACGTACTGTTCTCACGGCGGACGGCCAACACCTCTGTAACAATAGCATATTATAATAATATTTAAAACCACCTTATTATTATCGCCCCTTATCTCTCGTAATAATATGCGCACGTGGACTATTAAAATGCCGATAAATAGTATACTATACGTCATTATGATACGCGCGTACCTATCCGCAGTGTCGGTATATTTACCGAATATTATTTTGTTTTACTTCAAAAAATCCGTATAATACACGAAGACGCGCGTTGAGCCTAAAAATAATAAAAAAGGCGTACGAATATCACACGGTATAATAATATCACATTATTTCGTTGTACACACGTCACGAATAATTGTTATTTGCCCTACGGCCACCACGTCCCAAATTAACGCTTCGGACGGTCGTGTTATAAGCGTAACAACAACACCGATAATAATATTATGGATCGGTCGACACGTCCCTTTCCGCATCAGAGTAAACATTACCGCGGTATACTATATTATACTTGCTCGGGTTATGTGTACATTATGCAGTTCGTCTGCATAATGTAAGTCTACAACCGGTTTCTCCGCACTATTTTTTTTTCTCCATTTTTATTACGAGTTTTTTTTTCTCCCTCGGAGTTCACACAAGTTTTTTGTTTTACGGTTCTGTGCCACGCGTTCGCCCGACGTTATTTTTATCGCGCGCGATACGGTGGTTTTTTTTCCTGTCCGGTTAATGGGTATTTGCTAAATTCCAAGATCACGCTCGTACAACAGCATCGACCTTTCCATAGTAAAAAAAAAAAAAAATAACGTAATTTTATCTTTCGGTAGCGCGGTGTATTTTAATATATTATTATCCAGAACCTCGGCGTGGTCCTCAGAGGATTTGAAACGAGGCCTATATACGAAGTACGTGTATGCGACGCTCGCGTGTCTTAATAATAATTATTAATGCGTATTAACGTCGTCGTTATGGTGTATAATATTATAATAACTCGTTATAGTATACAATATATCACAAACACGGTGGTGCATTAGTGGATTTACGCGATATTCAGTTACAATATTTGTAGTGCTGCGAGCCCGAGGCCGCCGAAAAACAAGACACGCATTAAAATAGAATCCGGGCTCCTGAGTACGACCTTGATATTATTATCATTATGAGTATATATCATTAAGAAGCGGCGGCGATTATTCATTTTATCGTATATAGGTGTATATTATATTATATACGTCATGTTATAGAATATTATGTGTCGTGATTTTAACCGCATTCGGCCGTACACACGCATAATCCGCCGCAGTAAATTCGTTATTAATGTTCTGCGATTTCATTATTTCGGTGATGCAACACGTCCATAAAGAGTCCGCAGTTTGAACGTGCGACAAAGACGTCCGCGACGCATATCGGGTGCGAAATAATAATCGTCGATAATCCCCTTTCGCTTAGTGTACAGGGTATTTTTTTTTTTTATCCAGCATTATCTATAAGAATATTATAGTGATAGATGTTCCCGAATAGTTTTCGATAGTTTAGATGAATAATATTATCGGATTATATTTCATTAAAATATTTTTTTCCGCGACCGAATAAATTCATTCGGAAAACAATTATTTTTACGATTTTTGCCTATACGGAACAGTAGTTAAACTAAGTATTCGAATAGTGTTCAATTTTTCGAACAGTTCGAATGCGATCGACTATCGAATAGTTCAGTTGTGCCTATCGCTAATATGAACATAGTATAATATTATGATTTTTGTTTTTTCAGATATTATAATATGCTGTGTATAATCGTTTCTGACGATCTTGTTTGTAATAATAATAATAATAATAATAATAATAAAAATCATCGTTATAATTCTATAACAACCGACCGAAAAAATCTATATAATCAAGTTACTTAACAATTTCCGTAGATAATCATCATATCTACCTAAACGAATCGCTCTGTATTAGGTCGACGCCTTTATACCCGAAACCACTTATAGAGCTGTCTACGATGACGAAGAGGGCGGTGTTTCGAGATTGGATTATTATTATAAATATTATATATATACGATGCCAGAACACGCTGTATATCGCATAATCCGCCACCAGTCACTGTATCGATATATTATTATTGGTATCGTATAATATGCGATATGATAAATCCCACCGTATTATATTATATCGATATTATTTATATATATAAAAAAAAAAAAAAAATGGCGACGAATTTCGATGCAAATTGCAAAATGGAAACAAAATGTATTAGTGCTTTATACGACGACGAAGACGTTTATACGCTAACATCGCAGTACAGTGCATGTTCAGCTTCATCATTATCTCGAATTCCCAGCATTCGTTTTCTCTTGTATACACCTCATCACATACCGATATAACTGTTGTGTAAACCTTGTATTTTTTTTAAAAAATCCTCTTATCGTCGATGACATGATCTTACTGGTATGCAGCGCGCCAGTGGATTATACCTACGCCCGGTTCTTAATATAATATAATTATGCATATTATTATACATTTATACGATCTCCCCGGCGGCGTTTAAATCGTCCGGAATGGACACAAAGCCCAATGAGTATGTAGAAAAACAAGACGTTCATTATTGGCGTATAGCAAATCTTGGTGCAGAGAGCGCGCTCGGTAAAGAGGTTATCGATTGGTCGGAGAACGACTGAAAAAAATAACTACAAAAGTTTCTCGAAAAACTAATCAAATATTGATTAGTAGGTAGTCATAATAACGGGGACCGATGGGTACAAATTAAACAAAGATAATATAAATATTTGTCCTCCCTCCTCCAAGACGTGTCTTGAATATTTATTCATTTGACGCGTTCGCGGTATCGTTTCAAACGAAATATTAAATGTTTAATGTTTATATATATATATATTAAACGTATACGCCACTTGGGTGGTAAACGCGATTGTTGACATTTCAAATACCCAGTGTAATACCTTCGTAGTTTTGGTTAATGTGTGTCAATAAAAAAGAAAAAAAAAGAGCTGATACTGTTGACGGTTGTACCAGTGTTATAAATGTGAAGTAGGAAAGGTGGGGTACAGTACAACCAGGATAATATAATTTATATCTTTACGTAATCACAAATCATTGTCAATGAAATACGATTCTGAGTAAAGTTCAGTTAATCATATTTAAAAACTACGTGATTTTTACGATTAAAATGTCAAATGTCTATAAATATTTAAAAATCACCAGAATGTTTTAAAAATCGTTCACGTCGAAAAGAATAATATAAATATTCTGTAAAAATATCAAGTCTACGATTAATTTTAATCAAATTATAAAAAAAAAAAAATAAAAAATAGATAATGAAATCGTTTTTGATTGAACTTTCCCGTTTTTCTTAATTTTGTCTCAATTATTAAGAAAACTCCAAAGAAAACTAACCTCTCAATACAACTTTTAGATATAATTTGCTTTCTGAAAATATGCTACACATAAAGTTTTGAGCAATATTTTTGGTAGACATAATGTCTACCAAATATTTGTTTTAACATAATGGTTAACATTATCTGTTAAAGATAGAAAAAAAGACATAGTAAAATCCATAGTAAAATGAATATATTGTTCGCCATGCGTAGAATCTGAAAAAATTTAACAAAAGTCGTATATGACTGTAATATAAAGATTTCAATGGGTTTTTTGTTACTTAATTTCTAAGATTTTGTAATTTTTAACAATAATTGATTTATAAATACTTAATTATGCTGTTCTTTAAAACGTGTGTATGTGTGCGATGATTTGATGTATGATATTATAAGTTTAATATGCCTATTTAAAGCGACTTGTTTTCGTCCGGCTCGGTAACATGTATTTACGTTGTTATATAATAAAATTATACAATTCCTATTTAAATACAATTACGACAACGGACGAATAAGAAACCGGGAAAACTATGTGCCAGAGTGCAGTTGTCGTCGGAGTTTGCCAATTTATGTTTTATATATGAATTCTATGAAACACCATTCCGTCGAATACTAAATGTCAAAACGTATACTGAGTGCCAAAAGATCATTTGGTATATATTATACAAATGCAGACAACGTTTTAAATTCAATCTATGATCTTTAGATATATATTTTTGGCCCCAGGGAAGAAGGGCTTAAGTCAATTTAGTAAAGTTTTCAATACGAGCAAATTACATTTTGAAAATACATACACTTGCACATAAAGCAATTCATTAACTCACTGCATACATTAATTATTTTTATAATACATGCACCAAAAAAATAAAAATAAAACAAATTACATTAGATAAAATTATATAAAAATATGCTAAAAAATGATATAAGCGCGACTTCCTTGAGGCTAAAGATATCTATTATAGATACATTCAAAGTATAAAAGGGTTTTAAACGAGATCTATAGATCTATATACTTCTATAGAATACTTACATTTTATCTCGGTACCTAACTATAATCAAATATTTGATACATTTTAAATTTTTATCGCAGAGTCCTTCACTATAATACTCGAAATATAATCCTTTATTAAAGATAATTATTTGTAATATGATTCATTTTTGAGTTTCTATAATAGGATTGTTATGATTAAATAACTTATAGAGATAATGTGGAAGTTAAAAATTAAATTGTATCAAATACGTTTATAATATTTTCCTTCGTTGGACTAAAAATTAACAATTACAGCTGTTTAGTTTGAAATTATTATAAACATCAAAAATAATATAATATTAAATTTGTTTTTGTCCCTTCGTTTTTTGTTTACGCATTAAACACTGAACTAAAAAACAATGCGATTTTTTATTATTATTTTCGGTTATAAATACGCGTAAGTATATGCGTGTAAAACATAAATAATCGTTCGATTATAATATTATGTTTTTGTTATTATAGTTTTTATATTATGCGAGTTGAACGGTCTGTGTCCACGTTGATAAAACGCGTTAAAATATATTATACGGTATAAGGTTTTTTCGATTTTACTCATTTACGAAAATGTTTCCGTACGATAACGCGGTTGCAATCCTATTTTTACGACGGCTTAACGCTTATCTTTCCATATACATAAATAGACGTGAAAGGTTTTTTTTTTCCAAAATTACGCCGAAACGAGTAATATAAATTGGACGGAGGGCTTTTTTTTAGATTATTTAAAAAGGACCGAGGTTGTTAAGAAAGTTTCGGCCGGGGGACCGTAAACGCGCAGGCTGCTTAACGTTGGCGGTTTTTACGTCGAAATTTTATTATTATATTTTTGTCAGTTTTTTTTTTTTTTTTTTTTTTTGGGGGTTTTTGTTTTTAAGCTGCTATACTCGGTACGTATATATTATACGCGTAGCTGGGTATTGTCCAAACATTGATTTACAAAGACCGCGCGCGGCGTAAAACAGTAAAAAAAAAACCGTGTATCTAATAAACGGAAAATGCACTCGACCGTTTACGACTTAATCCCGCGGAGACTCGAATTTGGCTTTTATCGAGGCGGACCCGCGATGATAATATAACAATAACAATAGTCGCGTTGTCGTAAACAAGTTGGCGCTCGCGTAATCTCCGTGCCGCGTTTCATTGAGTGACACAAAGGCACCGGGTAGTAGTCCGCGAGGCTATATAGTTTGAACGTGTACGCGTACATATATACAAATTTTATAGTTTCGAGGGGTAAAAAGAAAAAGAAAAAAGAAACGATGACGAACATAAACGTTTGGAAACGCGAAACAACACGACGCGTACGGGGTAGCGCCCGCGCGAAATTGAATTAGATCCCGCGCTGATGTGTTTATCGACGGCGTTTTTCCGACAGCCGCGCACCGTTCGTGAACGCGCGCTCTCTGTTTTATGCTGATCGTGTGTAACGCGAGAGAACGGTATTAAACAATAATAATAATAATCGTTTTCATCAAAGTGTTTTAGGCCTGTTAACGTCTATTATTATTATTGTTGTTATCATTATCTACGTATTTGGCTATAGAGTCGCGACACACGCCGCAGCGAGCGATTCGCGGAATTCTCGGTTCTTTTGTGCGGCAACGGTACCTATTCTGTATTTAGGATATTTCGGCTAATACCCGCGAGTATTATAATACACACAAATTACAAACAAACGGATTCGTTAATATTTGTTTAGCATTGGTAGAAAAAAAAAATTGCGTTGAACGTATTATAGTATATTATATTATATACTTTTGTGTAGGTACCCCTCCCCCCCCCTTCTTTACCTTCCTCCGATTGACGAAAACAAAATATTATTTGTTTTAGCTCGACTCCAAAACCTACACGTTCGATCTAGATCCGTTTGTCGTGATGTCACTCGCCGAAATAATCCGTTACTGCTGATTTCCTCTACTCGTATATTGTATGTTCGTCTTTTTCACTCTCTCGTTCTCTCGGTAAAAAAAAAAAATAAATACCGAACGTAAAATATTTTCGCGCTATAGTACACAATGCCTACTACGCATTTCGCGATTTTCAATAACGACACCACCCGCACTCGTTTGACGTAATACATAATAATATAAACGTGCTCCCTCCTCCGATATACATATACATACATATATATATATATATATATATATATATATACATTTTGTGGGGGATGGGGACCGTCGTGCGTCGCGAGGGTTGTCTACCCGGTGAAAATACGACCGGTGTATGTAATAGTGATGTGTTTTTGTAATATTATGTGCGTGTTGTACGTACAGTAACACGGTACTCGACGTCAACCAGCTGTTTTCACGATTTTTTTTATCCTATCGTTTTTGTGTTCTGTCTAAAGTGGAAAAAAAAAACCGAGTAATAACGATAATGTGTGTGTTAAGGAGGAAAATAGGGGTCTGGTTTCTTTTCGTTTTATTTATTCACACCATACGCGCAACCACCATCATCATCATCATCATCATCATCATGGAGGAGACCCTTGTTTTGTTAATTAGTCGTGTGCACTATATATAAGATTATTATATTGTCGACAGTTTTCTTTGAAATTTGTACCTTATTATTATAATGTATGTCGTGGTCCGCGTGTTGAATTTGTATATACAAAGGAAAGGGGAAAACAAATTATTATACGTTTTAATGACGGTCAAAGTATATTAAAACTCCCTTTCTTAAATACGAAATCGATGGCGTTGAAATGATGATATATATTTAATGTTAGGCAGAAGTTTGATCAATCCGAAATTGGGATTGAAATATGTATTTAACGGATTAAATTTGTCAATTCTAATATGAAACACAATTATCATGATCAAAATATAAATCTGGTATTCTGAATCTGAATATTTGAATGAATCAGGAGAGGAAAAAATTAAATCATATTAATTATATTTTTAGCAAACTTAAATATTTTTCTTATTTGTAAAAAAAAAGATAAATATACTTATACTTATGAGATTATATGCATGAATTACTAGTGTTACTAGTTGTATAAAAAACCTTTATTTTTATTTTTATTTTGTCTGCAATAAATTGAATCACTAACCCTGACGATTAATTTGTAAATCCGGATTAATGGATTAATCCGACAATCCGGATTATATGGATTGTTACCTGCACGGCTCCACTTTTTGCAATTTGGATTTTAGATTGGACTCGATTAATCCCGATTAAGTGCCTAGCAGTACTATAGATGTTAGAAATACGTTTTTTTCTCAATGTTATTTTTAATGCGCGTTAATAATATGTTTTTCCCGTTTATCTATATATATATACAAATTAATGTTTGTCTGGATGTCTCTTATGCCTTCCTAAACCGTTCATCCGATCGCCACGAAACTGAAAAATGTATCAGATATTTTTCATTGCTTAGCAACCGTATACCTAATTTATATAAGTTTGAANATAAAAATAAATTTTTAAACACTTAAGGGCAACAACGGTTAACTGCAGTAATAGTGACGGATATTGAAACAAGAAATCTAGGGGGGAAATAGTTTTTATTACACATTTATTTGGCACGGGCAACGCCGGGCGGAACAGCTAGTAATACATAAACCGAAGAAATCATCGATTATTGTTTTTCATGTACATCGACTATAATATAGTAATAATATGTACACTGATCGGTTAAAGGCGTCTGTATCATGAATCGAAATAAATTCAAACACATTTAACGTTCGTGTATGCGAATTCTGTTACTATACATTCGGGAAAACTGCTGAAATTTATAGTACTTAAACTTTATAAATAAAATTATTTCGCGCGTGACTCTTCTTATATGAGTCTCATTACGTCAATTTTATAACGCTAAAACGTTTGCACATTGTATAACAATTTAACATTATGATGATGTTGTTCGAGCTTATATTATATTATAATGAACATTGAACAATATTACGTATTTTTTTGTTTCCTTCTCGCGGCGTGTTTCATGTTATTATTATGGTTGCTGGCGTGTAATTTAAATTAATGAAACTTGTGCACAATGAAGCATACCGAACGGCGTATACAAACATAATATATATATATATATATATATAATATAATGTTATAAACTGCAGTATATAGGTTCGAAGTTAATAATTTGTAAAACATATGTCGGTAATTATTAAAACTTTAATAATATACATTAGTTTTACACGGCCGAATTTATATTTTAATTTTCTAAATACTGTTGTTAATGCCTAACGACATCTTGCGTAGATTATAACTGGGTAATATCTGATCGTGTTTCAGGAAAATTTCGTTTAGATTTAATTTGAAAAAATATATCGGTGTAATGAAACATTCTAAATAATGAAATTATATGTTCTTCCAAGGATTGATTTTCACCATATAAAAAACCGCTTCGAAAACCGCCATAATATACATTCGAATATTAATATTGATATTAGTATTATTTTAAAACAACGTGTGTCATGTTAGTGAACGGATTTTTCCTCCGGTTCACGATACCTATACATATATATTTAAACTTAATATTTCTATCTGATTTTTGAAAAACAAGCTTTTGTATTTTAATCGTTTGCAATAATATGCCATTGAAGTGCAACGGTAATGTGACATATACGCAAACCTTTGAGTATATTACAAAATCTAAAAACGTATTTCGAAGAAAATTAGCCGCTCGCCGACCAACCGATGGATTATTAAATATCAAATTCCTGCTGTTGAAAAGTTCAAAGCATTTGTAATCTACAAGTCTAAACGGACATGAAATCTGCCCCTTTGAAATTCCGAAATTATCGTTAATCTTTGAGTATAGGGACTTTAGATTACGTAACGAGGATAGCGGGTAATAATGGGTGATAATTGATAACTGTCACGGGGGATACTATTAGGGTATAAGCCTTTGTCTGATGCGGCTTAACACATAGAATCCTGCAGCTACTGTTGAAATTTATAATGTCGGGAAAAGAACTATTTTGATTATACGAATTCCATTATATCCCTGAAAAAATGCATGAGAACATATCGATTATTGATTACCAGCAGCACAAATACCTTATTTATTCTACCCCGGCAAAGAATAAACATCTTATATGGTGCTACAGTATGGCCGTGCAAAATTAGATTGTTTTTCTCTCGCTGTTAATAATTGATACTAATGTTTGAATTTACTTTTGACTGCAAATATAAATTATTAATTCAATTATTGTAGTTTGCAAAGTTTAATTTAATAATATAGGTACCTAATATTCTACAATGATTTTATGTGATGACGGAGAGGCTGGAACATATTTTATTGATTAGTTTCACATTAGAGTTTCCAAACATTAATGACGAAATTATATTTAGTAACGCTTTATGTGTTGGTCGTATAATAATAAAATTAACGTTTTTAGAATATTTCTCAGTTCGACGCCCTGCAAATTACAAAAGTTGTAAAAAAAAAAGACGATAACGCGCAGCGTTTAAAATTAAATTCTGAACTCTATTCAAAATCATTTTACCATTGCTATATAACTACTTGCGTTAATGTATTTCAAAATAATGATACTCCCGTGGGGAGGTGAGTGAAGCGAAACGATTGTAGCGAAGCGAGACTACAGTATATACACGAGCAGTAATTTTACATCTCCTTAATCTCTGTATTTTAGTTTATTATTTTTAATCCCATCGTGTTTAGTAAGGTTCGTATATAACCAAATATCATTTTTTTAAACATTTTTTTTTTTTTAATATTTAAACCGTATTTTTATTACCTGTAAGAGTAACAATTTTGTTTGAAATGATTTAAAGTGGATGAATCCTTTTAGAAAAAATATTATTATTTTTTTTTTTTGTTTCTTGTATATTTATTATTTATCAAACGAAAAGTACTCAATTAAATAAATTACGATTTACGTGTAGTTTAGTGTAGTCATTAAAAATAGTAGTTAGTACGCAAAACTAACTGTTATTAGGTACATTTGAGCTTTGACGTTTTTTCATAGTGATATTATTTAGATTCTGAATGTACACAGCAAGTGTTTTATTATGATGTTATTATTTATTTTTTTGGTCTGTTTTATCAAAAATCTTGCTTATCAACATTAGGGGTGATTTTTGGTAAGAAATTTTAGTGTGAATTTAGTTAAAAATAGTTTCGGTTAGTGTATTATTAAGGAGGTAATTTTTAATAATTTTTGTTGTATATTAGGTGTTTCTAGATGTTGTAAAATGTTCATAATATTCAGGTGATTTTAGAGCTATAGTCATTTGAAATGTTCGCGTCTTTACTTTTTATATTTGTTTTGATGTGTGGATACCATTGTTTAGCCTAACAGAAATGCTTGAAAATGTAATGTGGCGTTCATCATACGATTGTATCTAGGGGTAAAAAAAGGTGAGCGTAAATTTAAACGGAAACCTTAAAAAACCACGGTATTTCAAAACACGTTTAACCGATCCTCGTTCAGAATCGGTTTTTATATTAAGACTAACTACTGTTTTTCATGTAAAATTAAAAGCGTACTCTCAGTTACGATTATTATGTAATTAAATTTATTGCTATATATATCGTTATAATAGCTGTTAATTAATAATCTCACGAGAAATAGTACTTGAGCTATGATATTATGTTAGAGTATACATCAAGCATGAGATAATATAAAATGCATAATAATGAATTCGATCGATAAAACCATATTAAATAATTATTACCATAATATCCATATAAGATAATATTTGTAAAGGATTTTTTTTTTTTTTTTTTATAAACCTATTAACCTGCAATAAATATTATTCTCGAACGTACGGCTACAAACACTCCGGATTGATATACAATAGAGATTGAATGTACATTATTATTACGAACCTATTATAAATCAATATACAGAACGAGATAGTGGATTTTCAAACAGGAAAAGGCTTATGTAAATTTTTTTTTTTTTTGACATGTACAACATGTGCATTTATGTACACATATTATGTGTATTTACGTACGATTATAACCATCATTTTTATTTCGCTTTTTTCATTACGATTGAAAAAAAAGTTTAATCCTTTTGATATTTTTCATTTAAATTAAATAAATTATTTTTTTAAATTCATATCGACTATAGTAATACGGTTGTATATTATTTTACAGAGCAATATTGATAAAAATTAAAAAAAAATGTAGTTTGCAATAAAGTTTATTTTACTTGCACATAATAATAAAAATCAAATTATAATACACTCAGAATGATGTTCATGCGAATCTGAAATGTATAAAAAATATTATGGGCCGGTTCCAATCATTTAAAAAAATTAAAAAAAAATAATAACAATAATAACTAAGCTTATAAGTTAATAAAGGATTTTGATGTCTAACGAATATTTTTTTTTGTCAACAATCGTTTGTATTATATGTTATATTATGATTATATTATAATCATATCATGTGTTAAACACTACTCATCTAGGCGTATGATTTATTTCACCGAACTATAGGTAAGTAAGAAAATAATAATAATAACAATAATAATGATAATACAAATAATATATATATATTATTCGAAATAAAAGCATACGGCAATTGTTACGAAAAATAAAATATTATATTTTTAAATCCCGGTATCTACGATTTGTAGAAATATAAACTTATATACCTGTACTATTTCAAGTGTCCCATATGTATGCATAATATACACATATTACACGCGCATATTATAATATCTGGAATATAACATTAGAAATCTGCGTTACAGGTGATTCATTCAGTATTATAGGTATATGGGACATTGTTAAGGCGGCCGTAGATAAAATATATATATATATATGTATTATGTATTAATAAATTCAAAAATCCGGCGCGTCTCGAGTGTCGTAATAATATTTTATAATGGCGCGATACATACACAGACGTACTTGTCCGTTCCGGGACGCCGCTTCATCTCCGAATGTTTTTTTTTGTATACCGTAGGTACCCAATAAAATACCATTCCAAAACGGCAGGCACCGTTATACGGTTTATGTATTATATAGGATAACGCATTTACCAGTAATTGCTCGAGTTAAATAAGTATTTTTTAATTAACATAAACGTTTTATGTATAGGTACGTTATATTCTGTAGTTTAATTGTGTGTGTATATATACGCGTTTCCGACTTTTACTCGTTTTATTTATTTGTTTTTTTTTTTTTTTTACGCGTTGTCGAATCGAAAATACAATTTTTACTCAACAGTCTCTTTTATCGCGGTTCGCGATAAAATTTATAAAAATACGTTTGTGTATAAATAGTATAATAGTTCAAATGTTTATCGGTTTTTTTTTATATATACACGTACGCGTATAAAACACCGACCAATAATACATTAATAATACTAATTTATTGTGATATTATAATTTATTATAGCCGAAGGAGTAGTATTTGTTAAGCTTTTCACAAAAACATCGTCCTAGTACGTTTGTCTACTTCTCGACTTACCGGATCTATCCAATCGACGCCACCGCTACTTCACTATTATTCGCCAACTCCGTCATAATTATAAGGCATATAGTTCTCCTCCATGTTTGCTATATTTCTCGAGCTATATTGAATTTACCCAAAGACTCTGAAACCGCGTTTTCTTTATAATAATGTAGTCGTTTTGCATTTATTTTGTATATTAACATATTCCTCTACCATCGGTTTTCCAAACATGACCACAACTTATTCGAGACTTTTACTTTTTACTAAGGCATATTAAAATATTTGGTATTAAAATAAATGATGTTATTGTACAGCTTTTTCATGTCTGCAATTCTCGGTCAAATATTATAGCTATAGAGTCGTATTGTACGCACAAGTGTACTACAAACGTACTTACCAATGAAAATACGGATTAATATGAGTTCGCCCGGTTTTATGGCGTGTAAAGTAAATACAAAACGGTTTTACGCACGTCGTCGTCTTTGGCTCGTGTGATGTGTTCTCTATAATATTATTATGTACACGCTTCGTAAAAGACGATTCGTCGTTGTTGTTATTATTGTCATGGCGTGGCGGCGGAGAAAACGTATCGTGTTTATTTTCGGAGGGTATGAATTAAAACTTATATATAAAAAAAAGGCCGTTTTTCTTCTCCTCCTTTACGCGACGGATGCTCGTATGTGATTTGCCCGCGTGAAACTCGATACTCAGCTGTTACGCCGCTTTATAAGTATAATTTATGTAGTCCCGGAGCAGTCGAGTCGATAAACAATTATATAATTACTATAGGATTACCCCTGGATTTCAAACGCGAAGTGCATTTTTTTTCAGATGCTCTACAGGAGACAATGCATTCCAAGCACATAATTCATGTCGAGTCTTGTAACAGTTGTAACTGTTATTATTAAGTACTTAATTCGAAAATCAAAAGGGAAACTTTTATTTAGTATTTTTTTTTTTTTTCTAGCAATTTTATACATTCTTAGCACTCATCGATTTTATACACTATACGACTTCTCAGTGTAAAATATCGTAAAACGAATTTGTTTTCTTGGTTTTTTTTTTTTAGGTATGACATTGTTTTCATCCTTACAAATTGTGTCAATCGTTCAATTTGTATGATTTGCATAGATTTTTTTTTGTTGGCGTTCTTGCAGAACAGCTCTAGTTGAACAATGAATTTCAAGCAAATAATTCGATTCACGTAACAAATAAAAGTGAAATTTTTGTTTTGTATTTTCCATTTTAAGTAATTTTTTTTAAGGGTATTGTCGTCGAGAAATTGCGGTTTTTCGAGCATTTGTCGATAAGCATCTGAGCCCCGGAGTAATTATAATGTATAATTATATATATCCACGATATTCGTGGAAGGAGAAGACGGGAGGAAATTCGTTTCGTGTCGTACTCTGGCGAGTCGATAAAAACCCAACGAATTACACAAAACACAGTTATATAGGTTATATAGGTCTGTTATTTTATAATATCACTCTACCTCTCTCTCTCTCACTCCGGCAGTTTATTTCCGGATATTACGCGATCGTCGGACAATAATAATAAAATAGCAATAATAATAACAACGACCGAAATAATAATAATTGAATGGGGTTTTCAGCAGCAGCCGATATTTTGTTTTTACGTGCGTCCGACCGACCGTATCCGTTATATCGCTTCTTCCTCCGTTGTCGCGCGATTTCTATTTTCGGTTTGGCCTCGTCGTCGTCGTCGTCGGCGGGCGCTATACAATAATAATACGAACACTGCGCAGAATGTACATAACGTCAGTCGCATCCTTACAATATTATATTCTATTTGTCGCGTTGTTTGGAGAACGTCGTGAGACAGAACGGGGAAGTTAAAGTATCTATACGATTCACTAAAAAAAAATTGTGATTTTGATTTGAAAGTTGAACCACGTACTGTCTGTAGGATCTGATTATTGATTATATGTTGACACGTTTAACACATTCAGTCAAGTCGCATAAGGTTAAAGGTTAAAATATTATGCACGGGTATCATTTTCCTCAGTTCGTCGATACCCGGAACGAATAAGACCACAAATATTTTATCTGATTCGCGTAAAAGGTAATATGTGATATGTTTAAAATATCTGTTGTGATCTAAACAATTTATACATTTTTTTCATAGAAACCTCAATTTTCCCCGACCCACGTGTATACTTCCGTATAACCTTTTTTTAATACGCGTCACTATAATAGTTTTGAACATAAAATCCTAATATTATTAAAATAAAGTTACAGCAAACAAATTTTAAGATAAAAAAATAACAATTTATTATTATAATCACAATGATGGGTAACCGATAAGAGGTGCTTGTGATCATTTAAATTTATTACTGATAAGATAATTTTTTGTTCTTCGAACGTGAAATTTGTATCGTGCGATATCTTACAAGACCGTACGGATCCTATAGGGACATCCAGTTTAATTAGTGTGAAGACGAGTTGTATAAGACATAAATAGGTATTAAAATGTCTCCGTTTCCGGCCCGCGTTCCCCCAAGTATACTTTTTACTCACCTCACCACACCCGGAACACCGAGGGGTGAAAAAAAAAACCGTTTCTTTCTCCCGTGCCGCCTATATAATGTACGCCCTATAGTGTAAAATTATTTATTTAATCAGTCTCGTCGCGCGCGCGTTGGTCCCCGCGATGGGGTGGCGTCCTAGCGCAGCCGTCCAGAGTCACGTAGTTTTGCGTCCGTACGCGGAGAAAACGGGCCGGGCGGGGGAGAACGAACTTATAGGGAGCCGCTGCACCGGCGGTACTACTGCACCGACAGCAGCGTGTATACACGTGTACGGGTATATTAATACGAGCGCGCGGCATAAATACGCCGCGAAAACAAAAAAAAAAAAAATTTCAAGCGCGTCGAATTCGTTGGTTTTTTTTTTTCCTTCTATTTCCTTTTCCCGGGTCTCTTCGCGCGTTATTATTACAGGCAGGTATACACAGGTATAATATATAGGCGATACGAGCGCGGCAGCGCTTTCACCCGGTTATTTATCTTTTCCCGCTCGCTCGCGTTGCATGCACAACCCGCGTGGTGGTTTTTTTTTCCCTCTCTACTCTTATACATTTTGTTTTATTTACTGTGTATTATTTCTCCGGGGAAACGCGTGAAAAACGACTTCGATCATTGATTTCACCTTTAATATACCTACGCCGCTGCCGCGATCGTGCACAGTGCGAACCCGCGCGCATAAATCGTCGTCGTTTTGTTTTGCATCTCATCATCGTCTTCCGTTTGCCAAATCGGCAATATACATACTGACGTTTTAGATTTTACTATCCGCGCGCGCGAAAGCGTTTCTGTGTCGGATTCGACAAAAAAAAAAAAAAAAAAACCGTATACTCTCTCGTATACTTTTCTCGTATACTTGTACGTATTATACGCTCTTCTACTTATATTTTGCGTTTCCTCGCACGCAATACCGGTATAATTCGTATATTATGCGCGGACCCACAGTATATGTGCATAAAAACGATTCTGGAGATTTCCCCGTGACTGCGTTTTATCGTCGAAAGTTCTAGACGTTTCGCGGCGAAATTAGGGTCCGCGCGTATACCCTTTGCGGCTCTCCGAAACGTCCCGCGCGGTAAAAGTGCGTACGGCTCGTGTACAGGGTGTCTAGAAAGTTTTGAATTTCTTTCGCGCTCGTTATTATCGCAGACTATTTCAAAGAGATAACCATCGACCCGGAGATAAATAATGACGATAAAATCGACCGTTATAGCGTAATATTACCGCAATAATTGAAATCTATGATATAAATAATTAAACTATACATCGACCTTTAAACGGGACCACGTTTTGGAATTTCGAAAACGTACACGCTGTATTTCTACACCGTGCAGCAGTTGTATAATATAGTAGCTATATACATTTAGGCACTGTGTATTCCAATAGGAAACGATTATGCGTTTTAATAACGGTAAGAGTATTTCGGTATTTACTCGAGTATATATATATATAAATTTTATAGTCGTCGCATTATAATAATATGTGTGTGGTCGTTTTTTTCTATTTTTATTCTGCAGGGGTTATATAATATAAAGGTGCAGCAGTTTCGATCCCGTATGTATAGTTGATATTCAACAATATGGCGACTCGGGTGCGAGTAGGAGCCGTGTTTACGGGGCACGAGAGCTCGGCATTTTATTTTTCCTACATTATAATAATGGGTAGGTATATATGTTATACGAAATATAGACGAGTTTTCAATTCGATCGATTTCTGTAGGGTCTCGAGAACGCGAAACGCGTTTCCGCCGCGAATATGATTAATAATCGTTTTACAACACGCGGCGGCGGCGGCGTATGTTTCGATTACAAAACGTTATTCTCGCTCGGTCACATTATATCGTTTCGTCCGAATTGCATATTTTCCGATACTTATGTACGAATACTGCACGTTATTCTATGTTACGTGCATTAAATATAATGTACGCCTAGGTTAAAATCCGAAGCTCACGTGTATCAAAAGCTTCGGGAAAATGAGTTATGACGACACTGTTTTTGTACGATTTTTGAAGATGAATTCAATTTCATAATCAATTCATTTCAAAACGCACGAGAACCGGAAAAGTTTCGTGTTAAAACTTTAACAAGTCCTATATTGGATCGTGCGAATTTCGATAAACTGAATCCTATTTACCTCGTGTCAAAAACCACACGGTCCATAGTATGAAAATTCATATTTCGTTTCAACATTCTGAAATTATAATGACAGTTTTCAGATTTTTAGTCCTAATTTCATTTTGGATTTCTTCAAATGTATACTGCGGGAAACTCTTTTCCCTGCAGATTTTTGTTTTCTGAAAAATGCGATTTTTGTAACGTGTGTGCAGAATTTTACTTTTAGCCTATTTGTATTCATATTATGTATAATGCATATTTGCTTCCATTGTAAAATAAAACATAAAAAGAGCGGTTTAATTCGCCGAAAACCCGACATCCAGCACGTATAAATTCCCCCTCCCTCGTATATTATATGATGTACGCTATATCACAAAAAAAAAAAAAAATAATAATAATAATAAAAAATATGTGAAACCACGCACCAATGTCGATAAATCATATTATAGGTATATTATAAATTATGTGTCCAATTAACAAAAAAATTATAATTCCATGATAATTAATGCGCGTATAATTTATCCGCCATACGAACATATTATATTATATCCATATAGGTATTATATATAAGTATAGTTATTGCGTTTTTTTAAAAAATTTTTTTTATTCGCATAGCCCGACATAATGTATTTTTTTTTTTTTTAGTTTTTAAATTGCCAGCTGCAGCTATCAAGTTAATATAATATATAGCTATTATTATATTTTTTTTTTCGTTTAGCATTATACATGTATACCGACTAGTAGTATTTTACTAGGTAGGTAGACGTATAGATCGACATAATATTATGTTGAGCTTATAAGCATTCTCGACATGAAACGGCTGAAAAAGTGAAAAATAAACAGGCGCCACGTGTGAACTGAATTTGTTATATAAAAGTCGATTCAGAGTATCAGAGAAAAAAGCAATATAGAAAAACGTTTTTGTTCTTTATATATATAGATAGGTAGGTATTGTGTACTTTGTGTTCTATATATAATACGCTATTGTGTCTAAAGAAAACCCGAACGTGGTTTTATATTTTCGTTTCGGAAGCGGTTTTACAAATTTTCTCCAATTTTGTAAAATTTTAAAATTATTTTTGAACTTTTAATGACTTTTCCCAATAATCTTTTTATTTAATTGTCCGATAATTATTTAAGAGGAATTAAGGGTTACGACCGTTTTTACGACGTTTTAGATCATTAAGCTGAGGTAAATTTCAACCATTATAGTGCTCGTTCAATTTTAATTTTGAAAACATAAAACAAATTCCTTACCTACGTTTTGTAAGAAACATTCGTTTGGGTTTTTTTACTTAGTTTAATTTATTTAAAGTGCTTGATGAGTATATCTTTTTTTTTTTTATTAAAATAAATTCTTACTTAAAAGTGTCACAAAAAAAAAAAAAAAAAAAAACCATCTATATTATATATTTGTCCTAAAAAAATATAAAAAAGAAGTATACAGTCATATTCATTTTCAAAATAGAAATTGAATTACTATTAATGTTAATAACTGTTTATTTTACTCCAACTTATAGGTATAAATATATTAGAATATTAAAACGAATCACTCGCAACCCTTATAAGTTCGATATATCACGTTATATTACTCTTATCAGAATAGTGTAGGTAGCAGGTATTTAAATATTCAAAATGCGTTTATGCCTTTTTTTTTTTTTTTTTTTTTTTGGGTAAACTGTTAAGTGTGCAGTGCAATACAGTATTAGCCAGGCTATTATATTATTTTCACTTTATAACTAGGTATAGTATATTATGCAAATTACGAATGTTTACCAAGGGCACTGACTTCCGGTTATTTGAAGATAAAATATTATTATTATGTTTACGTGCTTTATTATATTTTAGGAACATTAACAGGGTGTGTTTAAATATCTAAACTTTAAGTTTGAACGTTATACCCTATTAAACCAGGGTCTATTATTTTTGTTAAAGTTTTCTCGAAAAATGAGTCTATATTGTGTTTTTTTACATAATATGTTATATATCTTTATCTATTTTTTGTTACTTTTAGATATTTCTAGTGGCTCCCTTTGAGTCGAACTAACTAGGGGATTAAAATTGTTTTTTAGGCTGATTGAAGTGATAAAAGTTGATTGAATTTCAATATGAATTTAATTACGTTGTTGTAACAGATTAGTGGAGAGTGTGTTTTAGCTTTATACACCCTTACAGATGCCGCGAATTAAACCAGGGAGGGTGAGATTTCAGTTTTTAGTTATTTATTATTTTCCAAAGTTCTATAACACAAAATTTTCGAGGGTGTGGAAAAATTCATCTTTATTGACGGAGCTCTGCTGCTCACGGGTGTTTTTCTTTATGTTCTTCATGTAGATGACATGAAATTGTACACATCTGAATAGAGAATTCAGAAGATGATGCAAAATCGTATCAAGTTATTTGGTGACCATGTACATCAATTTTTAAACGCCCTCTTTTAAGGCCTAACTTAGATATGACTTAGGGGTTGACCCCTCCAAAAAACCCCTCCTGTTTATTATTTTTTTTTTTTACAATTTTTTACAATACATATTAAAATTACAGTATCTTACTTCCACCAAATATGATTTTTCCTTTTTCATGAATATTTTTCTACGTACATACAGATTATAAAGAGCGTAGTAACGACTACGTTCTTCTAATTACCAAAAACATATACATTATTAATCTAAGCGAAACGTTTGAAAATAAAAAAAATTATTGGGAATGTGTGGTAGCTGTTATTATACAGGCCTATGTATTAAAAAGAAAAAAAAACAATCAATTATTTATAACGGAAAGTGCGTCGACAATTTTAATTATTGAAATCGTTTTAATACATACTTTACTGTATAAGGAAACCAAAAACCACTCGTTTTTATTTTTCAAGGGGTTCGCTTATTATTATTACTATTGATTTTTGTGCAATAACTAATAATAAGTATATACATATATTTATATACTTTAGCTTCGATGACGGCTCGGGAAAACTTGTAATTGGACACGCGCATTTTCATTTGCATTTTAAGGTAATGTATTATAACTACTGCTGTTCCTTCTTCTGTTGCTAGTGAGCGAAGGAAACATGGTTAATTTCGTGTAACACCGTTTTACCCTGAATTCCGTTTTTTGTCTCTTATTGTATATTTTTGGAGTGTATACCTATCTGTATATAGGTTGAGAGTTTATTGTCCCAAGGATATACACCCTCTGAAGTAGTATAATATAGTGTCACTGTAGCCGGTAGTCAGGTCACATTCGTGCGTATAATAAGACAAAACTACCGAATTTATTCATGCGTCTTGTGATTTCATTTAAACCTTCCTTTAGCGTGCGGCCGTCACTCGTTTCACACACCACACGCGACGTGTACGTAATTTTGAAAATTCTTTGTCGCAAAAACGTCAGACTCCTACTATTATAATACTACACTGCACGTTTAAATATAAAATATTATTAGCAATAATGAAAAATATTGTTTTACTTATTATCGGGGTTCGGAACTTACAGTGCTTCTATTAAAAAAAAAAGCGCTTAAAACCTAATAAGCTCTTTAAGTGCTAAAATAAACAATTTACAAAGAAAATTATTTAAAAGCAAAAAGTAAAAATAATTTTTTCAAAGTACAAAAAAAAAAAAAAAAAAATATTTCAAAGAACATGTATTTCTTATCATACGTTATCTCTTTTTGAAAGATCTGATCTAATCTCCTGATCACCGTGGCAAGTTGATAAGATCACAAAACAAACAATTATACGTATGTTGGATCTTGGATGAATAAAAAAATTTTAATTATTTATTTATTTAATTAATTATTTTAAAACCAAAGCGAGGTAGGAGGGGGTTCTGTGTTTTCATCTCTGGCTCACATAACCATAAAGTAGTAAATATTTTTTTAAAAAGCAGAAAAACTATTAAAAATAACTTTTTAAAAATCTATAATAAGCATATCGAAATAAACAAAACATTTCATATTTGAATTTGTTTTAACATGACATAAATTTATGTAGTATTTGTCTATATTGAATATGACACGTCAACAAAATAAGCGAACGCCAAAGTCTCGAATCCTTTTTATATTATTTACTTTTAGAATTTTCATCCGGAATTTGTAATGTTTTTCTCGTGGTGCTTAATTGTACTTATACTATACACGTTTATAATTCTTGTATATTTTCCAACTGGTTTCCGATCTTTCGATCGGTTGGCCTCATCCCCACTCTTCTCTGTCCAAATCCCTCAACTCTCAATTAGCACGTGTCCTCGAGAATTTTTCGTTTATTCTCCCAGTTTTCTATAATATTCCGAAATAGTATATTATTAATAAGTGATGACGTATAATTAATAATACAGTAAATATGGTGGATCCGCGATCGTTGCGATGCACCACCCTGTATACCTATATAAACGTAAAAAAAATATACGACCGTGCTTATAACAAAAGACTCCGCCTCCAAAAGTCAGTAAGCCTTATACACGTATTATACTTACGTTTATTATTATTATTATTATTATCAAGTTGCGTGTTCTAATCATTATGTCGGTAAATTGTCGTCCGTCCCCTAGAGAATATATCATATATATACGAGAAACAAACGGGGTGAATATATTTAAACACGCGTTTTGTATTTGTATGTCGTATAACAATAAACTGTTGTAGGATATAGGTATTTACTATATACAGACCTTATTTATATAATATACAGGTAAGTTCTGTACGATTATTTTATATTTTTCGTCGCACCATTATCAGCTATTATGTGTATAATCCTTTTCATCGTCCTGCGGGGTAATCTTCTGCTGTACACGAAATACGAATCGTCACTTTACACTTACATACCTATACATACATATATATATTTTTTTTTCTTATGATAACGCAGCTGACTGATCTACTATAATATATAATATCTACCAACTGTAATAACACAATAATAAGAGTTCAGCAGCTTCTCTCATTCAATATAACAATCGACCGTCCGTCCGTCCGTGTTGCGTGGCGAGACTAATGACGACGTGCGTCTGTGTTGTTTATTATTACACATACACACACATATATATATATATACGTTATAAAGGCTCGCCGTTTGTGAATACAGAATATAATAACGATATTAATTATAATAATAGTAATCCTCGTCCTGAGACGTGACGGTCAGAGCACGTACCTATAGTATACTATAGGTATACTACCGACTATAGTCGGTGGATACATTACGCCACACTGTATAATATTATACTGTCGACTTCAGTATTATAGCGTTGTTTTTAGGGAAAAAAAACTCGTCAAAAATATTTCGATATTTTTCACGGGATAAAATCTATCTTTTCTTCGATGTACTCGTATACCTACTATTAATACACGCACTTATAGAGCTGTTAATTTAATACATTATACTATAAAAGCTTCCTTAATATATTATATAATCATCCCGAAAAATTCATTTATAAACACATTATTCAGCATTTTATAATTTATAATCGCTTTGTTAAACACGAAACAAATTTTGAAAAATAGTTTTTGATTTGTTCTTTAAATCTATTTGTTATCGCATAATATATTATTTCTTGTTTCATACTTGTGCTGAAAAACCAAAAATTGTTTAAAATCCCAAAAAAGTGTGTGTAAAAATGTACCCGTGAACAGTAGAGCGCTGTCACTAGGTTCGAATTTTCCTCTACCAGTTTTGTATTTTAAAACTTTGTAAAAAATAACTAACCAAATACTATAAAAATAATACAATTATATATTATACTACAAAAAATGATGACGTTTTGATCATAAAATTGTTAAGGGTGCTGACTCCCACTGGGAGTTAAAAGTTGGAACCCCCTAGAGACACATACTGGATATTAACGCTATGCGCATACAAAATTATTATCCCCCTAGCTTCTTTCGGGGGTCTTTAAGGGTGCACAAAGCTAAAAAACACCCTCTTCCCGCAATAATAATAGATATTCACTATTTTCGGGGAAAATTTGACGAAAAGGGTAAACACTGAAAATAACTAAAAATTGAAAATGTTAATTAAAGTTCGAAAACTGAGTTATTATTATTGTTATGCACAACTTGAAAAGTTACACAATTTCTATATATAATACACAATTTCTTACAGAAAGTAAAAAAAAAATTATAATTTTCTACAAACTCAGCCCTATACGGCGTATAAGTTATACGTATAATACACTTATTGATAATAATAAAACATATTATGATATTATTTTTACCGTATAATCTGTGGCAGTATAATATAATTCGATACAAAAAATGAATTACGACTATAGTGGCGTGTCTATGATAAAAAAAAAAAATCATTAATTTATATTATGCATCGAATCTGTCATATAATAAACACTCGGCATATTAAAATCACACGTTTTATCTATACATTATCTTTATCTCGGGGATATTATAATATAATATTATGCCAACGCCCAATGTTCAAGTCGATTTTGGCGTGCCAGAGGTGGGGGAAAAAATACAAGTGATTACCGCTATATACGTGAGATTCCAGGGTTACGACATTATCGTTCGAAACAAAAAAAGTTTAATACGCGATTTGTAAAATGTTTTGTATAAGGAATTACATTTACTGTGGAGCATATAATTTATATAACGTCATTAATTATGCACGCATCGATAACCTTGGTGTAACATTTGACATCTGGAGGATGTGTCTGTCATTAAAAAACGCTTTTACTGCGCAGACTGCCGCTGCATTCACTGGCACGGTAATGTACAGCAATCCCTTAGAGACGCCAGAGAAGCAATAGCAGCGACCGTTTAGTGGTGTTATTTGTCATTATTATTACGTGTTAATGTGGGTTATGAGTACATCGCGTATTATCCGATTAAAATAATATTTTCTTCGAATTTCTCGGACGGTTTTTTTTTTTAATTTACGGTGTTAGTTTTTTTTATCAATACTATGTATATATTGTATTATTAAACATCTCCACCTATTGTTGTCTGCCAACTTTGAATAATAATTATATCATATATGTATTAATAATAATATTATTACAGTCGCGTGCAGTGGTGTTGAACGCGCGGCCAATGAACGATTATCGTTTTTAAAAAAATTGTATTATCTTTTTATTGCACGCAGTTACGTATGATGCGTTTTGTGTTAACAGCCGTAATTGTCATCGTATATTATACAGTATTAAAAAATATCATATTATTATGATACCTATACACAATGTGTGTATTATTATAAGTTATAACGTGTCGCTTACGTATTGTAGCAGCGCGTATCTAACAGTTTTTGTAATTGTAAATGATTTTCGAAAAACATTATTTAAATGATTTAATCTCAGCCAAGTTTAATACTGGTATATATAATGTTCAGTTAATATATTTTACACTGATAATGTATTGTTCCTTCTCAATGTTACAATAATATTGTCATGCGTTATAGGCTAAAATACGTTATGCTGACACAATGTTTTGATATTAGTGGTTATCATTTTCGTGTTTAGCAGTATACACTAAAAATTGCGAAAATTAACAAAAGTGAATTTTATAAAAAAAAAAAAATATACAACAAAATTTCGATAACGTTTGTTTTATTAATATCGATAATAATCGCATTTTATTGTTGAGATACGTGCTGTTGCTGTTTAAGCGACGATATTACAGTACATATTATACATACAAAGTATCTATAGTCGTGATGCGTATTTTATCGTAACGGGGACAAAGTTTCGTATTTATCTGCCGCGGTAAAGTTCGTGTTTGAATTTTCAAACAGTTATATTATTTTGTTATTTACGTAATGAATTTATTCGTTTTTATGTCTGAGCACTAAATCTAACCTACCTAGGTATTCGCTCGTAATACGCCGTGTGACAGTGTTTTATGACCTCGTTTTTGGATTTTGGTTCTCTTCCAAATGTTTGAAAAATGTTCTGTAGAATTCGTTTTGTTTTGTTTGTTTTTTTACGTACTCGCGTTGTACGGTTCCCCGCAACCGTGTGAAAAACGTATTATTATTTCGCCTATCATTTTAAAATCTCAAATGTTAATATTCGCGACAGTTTAATATTATATTTGCCGATTGTTCCACTCTAACAGTAATACACATACAAATATTGCAAATATGTAGATTGTAGTTGTATAATGTATACATATATATATATATATACAGTGGCACCGAAATAGTTTAAAAATACTCGGACAGACGAGCCCGATTATTTTATTATATAACATATGTTATAAATTATAATATATTATTCATAATACTTTTTTTATAGTTATATTTTCTACAAATACTACTCATACTTACTATGTATATTTTTCACCACCCACCATCAATAAATTTGGTCGGTATTATTATAATTTGATCTGTATCCCGATTTCGGCATCAATGTATAAAAACCATTAATTATCGGGTGTAAAATAAATATTACAAAAATCTATTTAAAAAAGTTACCTTTTAATCGAAATTTTAATATCTTTGATGCAAATATTATCTATTTAAAAAAAAATATATATATATATATAAAATAATACGGTTTTCAAAAACACATATAAATACCAAACTTCGCTCCGAATCGTTTTTCGTTAGTAAGGTTTATTGTAGATATAAATTAAATAACTTAATGTATCCTACCTTGACAATTTCTCATCTAAAATAGTGACACCCATCCCAGTATCAGCTTTTTTTCTCTGTCTTTTAATCTACATGTACGAGAATCTTGTATATTAAATATGTAATACTGTAGTAATTATCGATTAAAACTTATGCATTATGTTATATTTGTATATGTAGATATACAGTATAATTACTTTATCATGAGCTAGTGAAAATTTTGTGTAAATTTGATTTTGGGATATTTTCAGGCATAATACACAGAATCATTTAATGATTTTATTAAATATTTTAACAAAAATTTCACCATATTGTATAAAAACGTATTAATTTTTTACTTTGAAATAGCAACTCATTTTACTTTTTAATTTTTAATCACTCGGTAATATAATATTTTTATCAACGTTTTGATAGAAAAATATTCACTTTTGAATGTGAGTCTATTAAAAACTATATAATAAACAGGGATTATTATTTGAGTTGTGTTTATGTGTTTACGAAATAAAAGGGGTGACATTTTGAAAATGTATCGATTTTGTCGTATCTATAATCGTTGGCTTGTGATTAAATATATTTCTATCATAATATACTACGATTATTATAATGTAGAAACGATTGAGTGGGGCGTAAAAAAAGTTTTTTACTTTCGTATACGATGATGGATTTCGAACTTTTTCGAAATGCCCAAGTGTACACTATCATATTATAATATTGTATACTTACAGTTACACGCCCACGTATTTCATATTTATATACAAGAAAATATGTATAATATTACATTATTTGTATTATATACTATATGCGACGGACATTTATATGTGTACATCAGCATCATCGGGAATATTTTTAGGTATATTGTGTACGAGTATATATTATACACGGAGATATGGTAAATGCAATAACTTGCCCTGTTCGATATTTTAAAATTTTTTTGTAAAAACCATTAGATATTTTTTTATGGTTTTTTTTATACTTCATGTATTTTTTAATATAATCCAACATGTTTTATACATTTATTTCGCAATACAGTTTTGATATTTAAAAATGGCATTGATGAATCAGAGTGGTTTACTAATGCTAAGTCACTACAATTATTTGAGGTTTATAAAATTATTTTACTTTGAAAAATCGGTGAATTCATTGATATCATTTAGTATAGTTTGGTATACTTCCCATGGCAATGGAAAATAATATAAATAAATTGTCGTAAACTATTGTACAAATTTTAGAAAATTAAATGACTCGTTAAATTTTTGTAATGCTGACACTTTTCCCTCAAAATAAATTTATAAAATGGATATTTTGAACTTTGTAAAAAATACATTTTTCTTAAATTCAAAATCCGAAATTTTTAATTTTTTAGTTTTAGAAAAAAAAAATTAAATACTATAAAAATCATAGTCCAAGGCTTTATAGTAATTATTACAAAAAAGATTAATTTAAACATATTCAATGAAACACAAGTTAATGCGTTTGTGCTCCGTGGGACGCTGTGTATAAAAGTATAAAATAGGTATACAATTATAGGTATAAAATTCCTATACAGTCTGTAGACCGGAACATGTGGATATAGGTGGTTTTAGATGCGAAAGAAAGAAGAAGGGGCGGTGATAGGGGGAGGGCGAGTTGAAGGCTCAACGCTTGGGTATTTTTACGTTCGAAAAATACGTGGGCTACTTATACATCACGTCGCAGACTCGGCCAGCCATCTGGACGGATGTCAAACTGTCCAGAAACCAAAGTTGCCGACGCGGCAAAAGAGCTGAGCTTATAGCTATACGAGTTGTTGTGTGTTTGGGTGACGGTGAGAAAAATCTATTATTACGACTCGTCAAATTTTGTCGTATATATATACAGGGTGCTATACATAATGGACAATACAACAAGGAGAAAAACGGTTTATTTTATTAAAATTATTAGGTAATCTCATTATATTAAATTGTATTTTGAAAATGTCTTCGATGATGGCGGTCTTCAGCACCACTATAATGTTAAAGGCGATCCCTATATTTTCGGCACATATTGATAGGTCGCCGACCGCCGTGATTTTTTTAATGATTAGCTTTTTCGGGTTTTCCATAGTATATGGATGACGTTTGAAACCCGTAGACTAACTATAGCTTCCAAAGAAAACCATGCTCAAATCAGTTAAGCATAAAATACCGATGTGAAAAGAAAAGCCTCACTCATTGGCGATAATTGAATGGTTATTTTTCATAATTCATGCAGATAATTAAAAACGATTAAAAAAAGATCGATCTGCTACTCATTCAATGCAATTCTCTTTGATCAGCATCAACAGTGCCGCCCGAATTACCCTTCCCCACCACCATCCCAAATAGAAAACAACACTACGATTTTATCATGCCAGGCCACGCCGTTTTATGCCAGGATTCAAAAATTTACAATGCCTATATAAATAGATAAAAATAAATCACTAGAATATTTTGATTAATTTGACCTCATAGATAAGAGACTAATATAATAATATATGCATTAAGTAGCCGATGTAAACATTTCAGATCTTTACGCTAATTTTTTTTTTTAACAAAATCACAACACAAAAAGAAAATCTAAAATAATAAAAGAAAACCATTTTTCCATTTTTTCAACTTTTTCTCCATTTTTAGGAAAAATAAAAAAAATCGATGAAAAAAAAAAGTCCCTTGTCAAAACAAACTTGTCATCTACCTATTTATTAACGTGTATTTAAATAATTATAAACATATTTGTGCAAAACAATTCTCAATATTTCAAATAACATCACTAGATGGATGGGTGGGAGGAGAGGGAATGGAAAACCTGTCGAGCAGTTCAAAGTGTTCAATTCAAATTCGATCGTCTGCTCCGCCACACCCTGTATATAAAAAGTACAATGTGTGCCGCTGGCGGAGTGTTGCTCGGTTCTAAATTTAATAGTCACGTGCTGACCCGTTCGCATTAGGCATGTAATATGACGGACGAAAACAGTTAGTGACACTCGTGGACCGCGCGTGAAACGACCGATCATCATCATTGTTCCTAGTTTTTTCCCCCATTTTCTTCAATTTTTTACTCGTCCCAAACAAACGTCGTCGTTTGTAAAATATTCGTTTTTTCTCCTTGATAATTTCATACTGTATAGTATTGCATACACACACTCGCGTGCGATCACATGATTTATTATTGTTTTTTTTTTATCGGACGGTAAGTAGGTCACATAAAAAAAAAAAAAACCAAAACCAAAACCAAACCGTTTTCGAATAATACGTGCGTGTGGATAAGCTCGACAACAATGAGTAGAACTGGGTAAAGTCAAAAATCACAATATGATATTTTGACTAGAACCAGGTAGATAATACTATATTATGATAGGTATTATTATAATATTTCAAATCAAAAGAAAACAATTTTTTTTCTGAAAATTTACTATTATTTTTTCAACCAAATTAATAATCCCTCATATGCAAAATATAAATTTTTAAAATCTAAAAACATCACGGTTAAATTATTTTCAAAAACCATCGTTCGAAAATCATCTTGTCAACGAGAAGTATTTGTGTGTATAATATGGTAAACGATAAACGATTACAATAAAATAAAATTCCTTGAGGAGTACTTTTTTCGTGGCCTTTATCGTTTTTCGAATTCACGTCACGTTAACGTACTGCTACGGTCGTTGTATACGATTTTTCCTTTATTTGTCGACGTTGTGGTTGTTATACACAGAGTTGAGTTCAAAGCGAGATACTGCAGCCGACTATTGTTCGCCGTAAAAAAAAAAAAAATAATAATAAATAATAAAATAAAACCTTTGTGAAATATTTGCATATTATATTTATACTCAAAAGCTCCGTACGATTTATGCCGACTCTAGTTTGACACCATGGTTCAGTAGCTATAGCTTTTTTTCGCATATTATCCTTTGTATAATATAATTTTCGACAACCCCCTCCCCCTCATCCACGTTATTTGCCATTTTGCTCTCGGCAGAATGTTGTTTGTCGCAGATTTATAATATACTCGTTTTATAGTGTAGTATCCCGCAGGGGATCCAAAGAGATTTTCTAGAGATGATACTCTTATTAAAAAAATATATTATATTCGACACCGTTTTTTTATTTTAAATTTGTATTTTACATGGTACTCTATAGGCGTGCACCGCATTATTATTATCACCCACATAATATTATTTTTCATCATGGATTTATACGGTTATAGTGATTTAAATAAATAAAAACAATTTTCAGTTTGCAGTTGGATACACATTTTTCTGGAATAAACATTGCCGCGTGCTGCTATCGTTGTTTACAAAAACATCTGTACACGTATATAATATTATACTTATTGTAATATGCGTCTGCACGAACGAATCGACTACGTACATACAGGGTGATCGTTTTATAGAATCGTTTTAACATCGTGTTATTATTACCAATATTTTTAAACTTTCACCTTTATTCAGGATATCGTATTACATAATATTATTATTATAAATCATAAAGTTGATAACAAATATTTATACCTGCAGTATTTTATCATTCAAACCGTTTTAAAATTGTGATAATGTTTTAATCTTTTAATATAATGTTTCTCACTCTCCATCTGAAAAAAAGCTTAAATTTCAAACTAATTTTAGTTCAATTATGTTGTAGTCATTAAATTTATATTCTTTCGTTACCAATTTTATTATTGCGGTAATCTATATGTTGATTATTAGTTTAAACAATTAGTGATTTTAAATGTTTACCAAAAGTTGTTGACTTCCGAAAGTACAACAGTCAACTTGCGTTTGATTTGCAACCCAAAGTATTTTTACAAGGAGCAAAATATTCGGGCCATTTCTACTACAGAAAAAAGAAATATAATAACAATAATACAGCATTATTGTAAAAACAATACATATCACGCTTCCTTTAGAATATAATTTGTTTTGTATGTTTAATATCTAATTAATTTTAAATAATTAGGTAATTAAAACAAAAACCGGACGTTTTAAACAAAATATGTGTAAGAACCGCGACAATGCGTTGACTAGATAAAATTTGATTTCAAAAAAGATGCTACACTTGAAAACCGGAGTCAAATTTCCGGTAATAGAGTTTATTCACTCAGACGGAGAAAAATAAAACCCGTCAAATTGAACCCAATACATTGCCGGCTATAACAACTATGCTCAGAATGCATTACCAAAATTATGGTGACTGATAATCGAGATTTTCGCGGCAAGCATTATAACCGTGCCATCCAAAATTCACCCGAACGACGGATTTGTTGAAAAGTTGTCGCATACTTGAAACATCTGGATTGCGTTGATTTGCCGAACGCGAGATTTTAATTGCAACGTTATTCCTTATCGCGCGCATAAGAACTATCCATCAGAACAATCGATACAAATGTACGGGGTTGCGTCCGATGGAAATATTTCATTGGCAAGGCCGTTGAGTTTCGGAACGAGATCCAACGATAAAACCATGTATCAAACTGTTGAGTTTTGAAATGTATATAAATATTATTCTCGTTTTGGATTGAACGTCGCCGAAGGAAACCTGAGGCCGTGCGTGGCGGATTCGCGACGATAAAATAACCGTTCTGTATACCTGCTATACGTGCAGCAGCAGCGATAATATGCTATTCTTTTGAACGTGTGCTCGCGGCTCGTCGATTCCGGAGGGAAAGCTAAAAATCCGTAGGGGAGCCCCGTGCGCACCGGATGAAATGCCCGACGGGCTCTCTCCGCGACCCTTCGATTTATACGATAAATCGCGTGTGTCGCGTACGATTCGTTTAAAGTCAACGCCCGTACGCTGCAACAATAATAACGGTACGACGCGGTTGTTTCGTCCGGACGTGTCCCGTGTAAACGTTATTATTATATTGTTCCGTATTGGCGTATATCGGACGTTTCCCGATTTATACGTCTGGTTTTTGGGGAGATGCGAAACAAACGCAATAATATATATATACACACACACATTATATACGTCGCAGGGGAAAAAAATAAACAACGAGGTAATTTCACCCGGCATTTTAATGGTTTAGAACTTCTTCGACCCCGGTAGGGTATAGGGAGAGATATTATATATGCGTCTGCGGGCTTCCGTACAAAAGCAAATCCACCGACGTACGCATTTCTCATTTCTATTTCTCTCCTCGCCGTATAATAATAGGCACGCGCGTGTATAATTTGCGTGTTCACGTGTTATGTATATATGTGTGTGTGTGTGTGCGTGTACGTGTGTGTGTATAATTTGTAAGACATTATGTATCGTACAGGGTGATCGACAGAGTACGCGAAACACCGATTATCTCTCGGAAAATATTAAATTTCCATGCATTTAATACAGGTTGTTATTTGAAAATCAAAATCGGGTATAGTGATTTCATTCCCGAAAATGAGGATGACAAAATCCAACCGGTAATGTAACGTTTTAGAGCGACTCTTTGTTTCTTTAATTTCTTTAATTAAAGTCAATTTCCGAGACAACGAGTATCTTACGTCGTTATGTTATTCACCCTGTATTGTATCGGATGATGATTTATTGAAACATAATATGATGGCGTTGTTCACGCGGTGTTTGCTGTGTGTGCGCAGAGCGGCTTGAAAACGAAACTTATAATATACGCGTGGCGATATGAAATTATATTCGAACAGGAAAAGGGATACGAGTATCGTGGGACGGAAAATACCTCTACTTCCTTCGTTATGGAAATATTTGCTCAAAATTGCGCATTCAAATGTAAACTTATTATACAACCGTGTGTATAATAGTTATTGCATAAGACTGCGTGTTTTCGGTGTATTTATACTGTATTATGCTGTATACTAAATTCAGAGGCGGGTTGAGGTATTTGATTTGGCGATTCAAGTAATTTAAAATAATACCTATTGCTCCCTATCCCGTAAGAATACAGAATACAGAATACAATTTATTTTTCTACTATTAAATTTTATATTAATAATCTTGCTTTTATACGGGAAAAAAAACTATCATCGTGATGTTCACTCCCTTTTAACACGTTTACCATTGATTAAATAAACAATTTACTAATATAATTACGGGGCTTTAATTTAAATCACAACAATTGCTATAAAAAATTTTTAAATCGGCGGAATTACAAAAAGAAAAGTTTTACTTTTAAAATATCCGTCACGTGTGTGTAAATCGAATTATGTACGTGGAATACATAAAACGCATTATGTTAAAAACTAGAACATCCCTTCCCAGAAAAAAATGCACTTTACATTGGAAAACTGGCACTACACGGTGTAATTATAAATTGTAGGCTACATTCCATTATTATATTTTAGTTTTAATGGAAAATACAAATCGTCGCGATCCGTACGATATGCATGTGTGGCAATGCTCGTATGTCTTAATCGAGTTATTGTGTAACTTCGTATATTATAATGGTTGTTTAAGTGAATATGTTAAATTTCACCTTTTTTTTTAATTTTTATATCGCGTTTATAGTAGGCCTACTATATATACTACAATTGAGATTTACACACATCGGGTTTTGGGCATGACGTTATTATTGTTTACATTCATTATAATATTATTCATTTACATAATCCAGACAAATTTACTTACCCGTATAATTTTTACGCGCTGCAAGTCAAATTTACGTGTAGACATTAAAGGTATATTTTAATACTTTCCATATACGCCTATACTGTTTGTACCTGTAGCTATATGTATAATGTTTAATATATACATCACAAAAACGCGAAAATTCGATATTTGTATGGAAAGTTTTTAATATGTACTTACACTGTATGTTTTCGATTGTGAAACGATCATTATTATGCCGAGTTTATATGTATATACTGCAGTAAAATGTTATTTTCGTGTTTTAGGCGTAATAGAATTAAATTATAATAATATATATACGATGTGCCTATATCTGCTGCTACTATCAAATTACGAATTAAAATACATTATACTCGTGTGCTATATGTTTGATCTGTAAATAAAATTCTCAACCTGATTATTATTATTAGATCTACATGCATCATACCGTGTATGAAGACATGCAGTATACATAGAAGTTCTACAACTATACAAAGTTTATTCGCTAAACGGAATACGTATCCGACTCGTGGAATATGTGGCAATATATGATGTCGGTAGGAAGAGCTATTCAAAGTGTACACACGATATATTGTGCCTACGGGAGATAAGATACCGTATAATATATAATGTGTACTAACAATATTATTATATTACGTCTTACTGAGTATACTAAAACTATAAACTAGTCGACTTGGATAGTATGCCTGCAGAATTAGATTCTGATCGTTTTTTTTTGTGTGTACATAAAAACACATTTTCCCCTCAGAAATCCGGCTCTGATTGAAAACTTTATAGGAATTTTCTTATAGGATTTTTGATCTAATTATTGGTACGTCGGGAGGTAATTTTTTGATTTTCCTTTTAGTTTTCTTAATAAATAGAAAAAACTAGCAATTTTTATTGATTTTTGGATTATCTTATTAAAGAAACTAGGGAAAAAATACGACTAATAATACTCTGTTCAGAATAGTTTCTTGAGATCAGTGATATTAGTATGCACTTTCAAGACGTGGTGTACGATTTTCAAAATATTCTGTGCTTTTTTTTTTAGGTATTATTTGATTTTATGTGGATACAATTTTTATCGGTTTCATAAAAATGCTCCAAGTTTTGATACGACGTTTATCGTTTTTATTTTTCTTATTATGGCACTATAAAAAACCATACAAATGGATAAGTACAGGCTGTACAGTTATTTATCGTAACAAATAACAATAAAAAAGCATTCCTGTAAGATGTAATGTACGTATTATTGTGTGTAATATACATATTATATACATTGTGTGTGACATTGATTTAACTGGCATTATAATTTAATATATTTATTTGTACGCGTTTTGTTTCAGACTGAACTATCACTAAATCTCCAACAGTTATCGGAAAAAGCTCGCACGACTACGGAGTTCATACAGAGGCTAAAACAAATGTCAGAAAAACTCAACGTAAGTACATTTATTGTATAGTACATATTAGTATATTTTTGCATTTTTTTTTTTAAGTGCTTTGAGTTTCGAACCCTGTTAATTAATTTCAAGTCATATTGTAATATCGAATCTACGACGGCCTTATATTTTGCACTTGTCGAATAATTCGACAAGTTTAATTATTGCTGCATCTGCCGTCTTCAGATATTATATATAACGAAAGTCAATTGAAAAACAAATCAATTCGAGGAATCAACAGAGCTGTATAATAATTATTATTATTAGACTTGTATTAATATACAATATGATTGATAATATACAAGTCAGTAGTATTTCGTATAATTGATTGACGCGCTTCGGGACCATAGTTCACTCGCAATTAAACTGAGTTTATTAATTATGACTGCAGTACTAAAAGACGTTGGTTTTTTTTTTTGACGGGTTACCAGAACGCAAGTACGTGATACCGTGCTAAATTCAGTGCGGTTAAAAACACCAATCGCATAAAATCAAACGAGATAAAGCCTTTAAATGCGGTTTTAAATTAGTTGAATTTCATAAAATTCAATAAAAAAAACCTTACGAGCCGGAAATATTAAATGCCTAAAATTGGTACCTACTCGTCAGTATTTTTCCACGTCTATAAAACGATAATATAATTATTCTGTGAAAATTTTAGTTCTCTATAGTAGGTTTTAACTGATTTATACTAAATCGAAAATAATGAAACCGTTTCTAATGCTGTAAACTTGTTCGGTTTTCCCAATTACTAAGTAAACTGTATAGAAAATGAAAAATGACTTACTTAGGAACCAACTAAGAAAAGACACTTATCTTGAAATTCGAATCCAGGTTTCTGCGAATCATGGTAAAAAAATAAAATTGAAAATATTGGAACGCTACGCTCAGAATCCAAAAAAAGTACACATCATAGGATAACCAATACATTCCTCGTTTCGCCATAATCTAAACAAAAATCGAATACGGTTTTGTAAGTTGTCATCTACCGACAACCACGTTTTATAGTGGGCATCTCTAAAATCCCGTTTAAGGGTATAAGTATATGTTTATACTTTTGTCTGTGTTGCGTGAATACATATTTTTCGAATTAATTTGATGATTACACGCGTAATAAAAGGACTCGCGAAAACCGCGCGCACAGGACTATGTCTTGTAAATTTGAATATTTTTAACAAAGATGGACTGACTCACTATATTTTCTACAAATACAGTGGGTCAGTGTTTTAATAGGCCTAATATGGCATTTCCTTTACAAAATCATGTTTATTTTATTTTTTAATCGTTTTAACAAATATAGAGCAAAACAACATTATTATCTTACCTTCACGTCAACATAATTTAATTTAAAACAATATCAAACGATATCGGTATACATCATGGTACGATGTCAGGGCGATACCCGGCGTAGCATCATCCGACAAGAATTTTAAGTTTCAAATATTAATTTCAAGTATTTATTTTTTATTTGTTTGAAAGCGAAATGGTAGTAGACTTTTTTGATGGTTAATGGAAAAATAGCGGTTCGGAACCCGTGCATTTTTTTCACAATTACAACATTGACTGGACCTGTAGGCTTTTTGGGGTCCGATTATTTTCTTGAACAGTAAGCTAAATTCTGCCCTGCGGTCCTCCCTTGACTTTTGAGTTGATTATTAGTTGATATTCGTTTTTAAAATAAAAATGTATTTATTGTACAAGTTCAAACCCTTAAATACCGGTTGCGTGATGTGACGACGCGTCGGTATAAAAATCGAATTTCGACTCGATATTTTATATATTTAATGTATACGACATCGTGTCGTTGTCTCATATACACGCGAAAAGTCAAAACACGTACAAACATAATACAATATATTATATTTTACACATACACCATATGGTTATGAAACATGCGACTTGACGTTGCTGCGCACGTAACGACGTAACAATATACTATAGTGTTGTGCATGTATATGTATTGGTGGATCCCAATTTTTCGAAAGGGTTTGTGCGCGGACTACGGGGTGAGGGACGTGAAAGTATCGTCAAGGAGAGGTCACGGGATTGTTGTTATAATATTATCTTATAATATAATACGTATATCAAATATAAATAAATAAATGTAATGTAGCCAAGAAAACGTTTACATTGATTGTATATCGAAAGAAAAACACATTTTATAGTGAATAGTTGATGGCAAGTTTAAAAACATCTTAAATATACAGACCGATTTCAAACAAACTCGTAATATTATATTATACATCGATATTTTTTAGGAAATAAATAAAACTTCTTTGTCATCTATGCCACCTGGCCGTTCAATCTCTTCTAATAAAATTGGTTTACTTCCTGTGTACTTCCTAATTTTTTCTTTGTTGATTTTATATTTTGTTGTGTATTGTTTTTTCGATTTTGTTGTTCTATATTATCAAACGTTTTTAAACACAGCCAATATAATAATACTTCGGACTTGGTTTTGTTCTTTTTCTATGTACTTTTATATATTTATTTATTTGTATTGTATATTAATATATGTAGTTATTTTTAAATTCTGAGTGTACCGAAAAATGTATTGGTTTTACTAAAATGTTTATTTTTTTAATTTTTTTACCCTGTGTACAAAAATTCTACCAGAAATCTTCCTCAGATATATACGCACGGCACCATTTTTGAAAGAGAATGTTGTCCATATGGTGCTCTTAGGTCATTTTTTGATTTTCCAAATCATAGCGGTTCTCATATCTGGGAAAAACTAGGATAAAACGTAAGAAAAACGGGAATTTCACGAAAATAATACTTTTTTTTTTATATTTCAATTTTGTTATTTGTTGTAATTCAGTTAAAAATATTTTTAGAGACTTGAAATTTAGACGAACAACTTATATTTGCCTTTTCTAAACGTCATACAATTTTAAAAATATTCGAATCATTTTTAGGCTTTTTATAAAAATTGTTTAACAAACATGAAAAACCGAAATAAACGGAGGAAAAATGGGAAAATGTACAAAATATAGGTATTGGCTTAAAAATATTTCGGCCTTCATTTATTCTGTGAAAAATTTTTCTTCCAGCAATTTTGCTCAGATTTATTATTATAGCACTTTTTTTGAAAGGAAATCTGACTAGGAAGGTACTTAAGGAGGTCATTTTTTAAATTTCTCCAAGAATTTTACCAGCAAATGTAAAAAACCATGGGAAAACTGGGAAAATCGGTACAATATTAAAAAAATATTGTTAAAAAAAATACATAATACCTATTTTAATCAGGTATTTTACCATAATATGACATATATTGTTGACAAAGCATCACTATCAACTGAACTGCGCTCAGAATCGTTTTTTCTTTAGTAATGGTTTATTGTTGCTCACAGATATACATTAAATTACTTATAACAGTGGCTGCACCCATCTCCATTATCCTAGGACGTCCTTTTTTTTTCATATAATTGATTTTTTTCGACTTTTAATCTAATAGAGTTATTATATATATATATAATACTTATACTTTTCAGGGCGAATGTGAAGAACTGGAACGTCAAGTGGATGCGAGATGTGACGCACTGATACGGTCTATCGAGAGGCGGAGACAGTGGCTGATCGACGCGGTACGGCAGGACAAGGAGACTAAACAGCGGTCGTTGAAAGAGCACGTGGCCAGTTGCACGTGCAAGTTGCAGAAGACCACGTCCCTGTTGCAGTTTTGTATCGAAGCGCTCAAGGAAAACGATCCCGTTTCGTTTTTACAAGTAAGCACAGCAGTGTCCGATACTATTTTTCATACATTCAGATGACTGTATAATGGTAAATTCTGTAGGCGTTGCTCGATATTTACGCTCGTATAGATATGTAAAAATCACTAGCACCTAACCTAGGGGTCGCGTTTCAGGAAAAATATCATAGTGTATTTTGAGGGTTCAATAGGATCTCAGGCCAAAGACTTACCTATTTAGAGACTCAATATAATTTTCTTTATATAGAGTAGTTAAGCTAGTTGCCAACTCTCTTTTTGAATCACTATATTGATTATGATCCACATACCGTGGAATTTCCGGCGAAATTTTCTCCACGATCTTGCTTACAATTTTCAAAATATTGTGACACTTGAGTTATTTATAGTTATTTGAAATTTCCGATTCTTTTTGTATTTGTATTTTTTTTTTTTTGGTTTTATATCAATATAAAACAATTTTTAAATAATTGCTAAACTCTCAACAATTTAACATACTCGTTTGATAAAACAATAATACACCTAAAACTGGGTGAAGGGGTGGAGGCCGGAGTGTTTTTGCTCATAATTTACAATTTACAACAGATACGTAGCCGTCTATATTTAGAAATGCACATAATGTATGACGTTCGTATACCATAATTTAGATTCTGAGCGTATTGTTTAATGTCACTAATTTAAAACAAATTATATTAATACAATGCTATTATTCGAGTTTTCGGAAGGTATCCGTTATCCGTCTATATTTTACAGCTAGGCGAGAAGCGCGAGAGTAATACCCCGACGTATCGCCACTGCATTATATTATAATATATGCAGGGGTCACAAGAAGTCATTATGTTAATAATAATGATGCTATGTAAACAATTAAACGCTCAACACATGCTGTAAATGCGAACTGCAATCGTGCACGCAAAATGACCGACTGCAAAATAATTTTTCCTTTATCGTCTTGTTTTTTTTCCCTGTTACTATTCAGGTCGGGTCCATGTTGATAGCCAGAGTTTCGAATACGGACATGACCTGGCACAAGGACGTGTTGCCGTCTCCACGCTCGTACCATCAGTTGGATTTGACCCTGGACGATAATACCGTGTTGAAGGCGATCGAACATATGAACTTTATTCAAATGAAAAGTAAGTAGTAAATATAGGTATATGATATTATATCAGGTACTTAGCGATTAGATAAAAATAAACGTGTATGCGATAACGGTTATTATTATTGTGAGTTTTATACACGCACAATTGTATTCACAATAAGTCAGGATAATATTACAATATTATTAGTATTGTGAGCGTATATAATATTTTGTGTATACGGGTAACCGGCTAATTTAACAATATTTGTACAGAGTGTCTCACTGTGTGTGTGTGTGTGTGTGTGTGTGTGTTCGTATTTCCATACATTTAATTAGTACCTTTTTTTTTTGAAGGGGAGGGGGGAAGAGAATGGCTTAAATAACTGTTATTATTATATTATTATATTCATAGACTTATTTTATAAAATATCACCCTGAAGAAAGTATTAAATATAATATTAGAAAGGCTCCCCGCCTAATGTTTCCCGATCTCTTCCAATGCATGTACCCCAGCAATAAATAACCTATTTTTCTCCTCTATAGATTTTTTTTTTTTTTTATAGAAATTATGACTTTTGTGTTAAATGGCGGTATCAAAATTATTTTTGTTAATAAATGTCGATAAACTGAAAATGATAACGATTTGAAATAGCAATTTTTTTAGTAGTTGAGATCTTTCTTATTATGATCAAGTCAATTGAGTTTGAGCTTAGGATTTAATGAAACTTACGGAAACAAATATCGAACAATAGATACGCTGCACCAAACGTAATAAACACACATATTTGATTGTGGATAATAAACTAATTATTTTTATTAAAATTATAAATTGGTTATTCTTTTTTTTTTTTTTTTTTTTTTTAAACATAACTTATACAATTTTTGTATTTTTTTTTTTTTGTTATTATTTCAAGTTTAGTAGATATCACTTATACCCGGAGATTTTGACACAAAAGTAATTGCACGAAAAAATCATGGCTGAGACACTCTGCTATATTTTACTATACGCCGACAATTTACAAAAAAAAAAAAAATAATAAAAACTAAAACGTCTATACTTAACAGAATATTATTGTTTTTGTATTTTTTTTCCTACTGCTTGCGTTAATCATTTATAGCCGTCAGGAACGGAGAAGACATGAAGACAACAGGTATACTATTTTATTGCACCCCAAGAGGATATTATATAGTTACCTATATATTATTACAATGACGTAGCCGGGGGTAGGGAAAGAGGTCTATATAGACCTCTTTCTCGAAATTTCTTCTATATTTTTATTTTTATTTTTTGAAATTTTACAAGTTATAGGATGTTTGTAAAATAAACCGCCCTTCTATCGAATTTCCCCCGATAATAGAGACTGGATTGTTTCTGTAATATACTGTTATAACCACCCTTACCATTTTTATAATCAAATTTCATAATTTTATTTTTGGACGTAGCTAAAAGTAAAGTTTTAATATATAATAGTCATACTGTATTATTATATTTTTCGGTTATTTTATTATTTTGCAAAGCATATTCGTATATTATACAAAATGGGAAGAAATGGGTGGGAAGAAATTCGACTCTAGTGACGGGTGTTTTTCTTTTTATAATTTAATTAATTTATCAACTATAATATTGAAAAACGGGAAGTCCTGATACGTACAATGTATATTTCAAATTTAACCCCAACCCCGTTCTGCCCAGAAATATTTGTCCGGCTACGGCACTGTATTGCTACTTAGTTAGGTACCTATACTCGAAGTATTATTAATAGATTGTTTTTCTCGCTTCCTCCAGTATCTATAACCGACAAAAAATGCATGCGGATTTCGTACCTATTCGCGTATACAATAAAAAAAGTTGTACAATAGTCTGTGTAATGTGTTTTCGGAATAGTTTCGAAAAACCCATTCTAAAATAATGACGTATGTTTACTATTTTGTTAAAATAATATTGTTGTTTTACGTTTTTTACAGCCCCGAGTGCGGCGCTGATCATCACCGAAGAGTGCAGTGCCGAAAACAATAGCGTCACGATCGCGTGGCAACCGCCGGCTTCTTCGTACGTCGAAGGTTACGTACTCGAACTGGATGACGGGAACGGCGGAGATTTCAGGGTTGGTGTCCTCCTATAATACAACAGTCCACTATAACAATGATAATATAGTTGATCCATTTTTTCGCCCGATATATTAACGAGATTGTTAAAAACAAATATCAATAAAACAATGTTTCTTATATAAGTCGCACGCGAAGTTGTTGCGCGCCGTGTTGCAAACGAAGATTAATGGATTTTTCTCGCTTCGTCCTCTCTCCCTCCCCCCCCCTCCCGTCTGCGCGCTACGAGATTATTAAAATTTCATACAATATGCTTTTCCCTGGAGGGTCGGGAGCTATTTGCTTTTGTCACTTAGTGTAATATAAGTATATGTATGTACACATTGAAAAATAATGTGTATATTTTTTTTAGTTTGCAAATTTAATTCTCCCTCCCTCGCTTAATAAATTACCATTGAAAAATACAATACGACATTACGAACCACCGTGGTACCAATAGAAGTCATTTAATTCTTTGACAACAAACCGAGTGATGACCGAATATACATACCTAACAATTTTCTTCCCTTCTAAATAAGTGGTTGACGGTAATTTGCGTTTAAAAGTGACTGCGCGCCACCTGGTTTTACAGGATTAACTATCCGGGAGATAGTAAGTTTGGTCCCAGTAAAAGATATTGCCATAACATTTTGATGATAATTGCGTCCCGCGTTATTTACGTACATACATAACCGACTGGGAATCCGTAAATATAAATATGTTGATAGATGAGCTTTATATTCCACATTCTTAGTATTTAGTTGTTAGTGCGGCGATTGCCCTTTTTTATTAAGTGCACGTGCATCAAAAAGAAGGTAATAAATAGTGACAAAAATAAAAACTTAAAATCGACCAGTGATTACAAATTTAAGGTTTATAATTTAAATATTAAAAAATATATATCGAAATCTGACGACTATACGAGACAGGAGTCAGCCCTGTAAACCGTGTTAAAAAATAAAAATAAAAACAGGCGTGTGCAGAACCTTATTTATTAAATTAAAACTGATTTAATTTTTATTGAAAATTGTTAAACTTTTTTAATTGTAAATGTTAACAACTTGTAAAAATACACGATCGGGACTCTTAATCTTATACCTATATACTACAAATTAATTATTACGAGGAATGTCTGAGAATATTTTTTTTATAAACGTTAGCACTACACAGTAAACAAAGTGCATTAAAAAAAAAAACGTATAGATATAATATTCCTGACGGATTTTAAATTATGACAGAAATTCAATTTTTAACACCTTGCTTGACGAAAAATAATATTAAACGATTACGGCCATCATAAACACTTTATAGCCAAATCGTGATTTTTTTTTTTATTTTCTATGACGCGAATTTTAATAATATCTGATACCAAAAAAATATATAATACCTATATCATCGTCTACCGAATTCGGTTCAATAAAATTATGGTAAAAAAAAAAAAACATCAATAACTAAAAAAGGCATTAGTACATGTCGAAAACAATGTTTATATATATATATATATATATATATATATATAGATATATAAGTTGAAGATAATATTGATTTTTTATGTTTGCTATATTACAAGTATGAAAAGCCAGAAAAAAAAAAAATGATATTAACATGACCGGCAGACCAATAATAAATTATTTAAATTTTATTACTCGTTGTGAGATGCATGCATTAAAAACAAAGTGCTATAAACCTGTCTTCTAAATAAAACTATTTTCAATAATAGTATATTTTTGTTGCATTGAAATCTAAACGAATAGTCCTCAACCAAACACAATTGTCATTAAATTACGTTTTTATTGTACTGTACCTAAGACCTAACTATGCAAGTATTTTAATTTTTAAATGTCTATAGAATATGCGCAGATATAACAAACAAATAATCCTATAAACATTTGAAAAAAAAAAGGAGTTTTAAACACGCATGTGTTATATTAGTTTATTTCAAATAAATGTTGAATAGAATGTTGCTATACAAGAAAATAATAATAAATAATTTAAATAAAATCCAATTTTAACGAGGTAACAGTAAAATAATAATAGTTCCGTCAATTCAATATGGGGTTTTAAACTTGTTATCAATTTAAATTTTCAGTTGGAAACTTAATAGATATTGGCACTTGTATTTTTTTGCCACATAATTAATTTAACACTGAAAAATAATAACAATTTGTAGTATTTTTACCTATTTTTTATTAGAAATTTAATTAAGGTTACTTAGTACAGTTTGGATATTTATTAAAACAGTAATAAAACAATTAAAAAATTTATAATTATTTCAAATAAATAATAAAAACATTATGTTTAAGTATCATTATGTTTTATTTTGATTATATTTTTATTAAATTCATTTTACATGCAATTTCTCATTAAGTTATATCATAAATTCACAAAACATACCAATAAGATGTCAGCATGCAGCTTTTCCAGCCTAAATTATTGCTATGTTACAGTAATTTAGTTACTAAAAAGTTTTTGTGGTTGCAAATTGTTAAAAATATAAAATATATAAAAATAATGTCAATTGGTTTTTAAATCAAAATTATAACAAGATGATGCCAGGATAATACACTTATGGATGAAAATTTTCATTCGCGTTCCTCTTAAATAGGCTTGTTAGTCGTGTCCTATATTTGAAAAGAAAAGACAAGGAATAACACAGGACGACAAGGAACATATTTCAAGCTTCGTTTCTTCCTAACACTATATTGATGTATTACTATTTTTTTAATGATGATAAATTATAAAATTTATTCTAACACTTTTTTAAAATTAAAATGTAAAATTATATTTTTTGTTTTTATACTACAATGTATAAAAACAAATACACAGCAACATAAAAAAAGTCTTAAATTTGTGTTCACATTGAAATTATATTATATAATATTATATCATATTATTATATTTAAAATGGTTGACAAAAATGTTAATACATTTTTTTTTTAGATTATCCTAATAATTGTTTAAATAAAAATATTTGTAATAATATTTGTTTTTTGCACACAGGAAGTGTACTGTGGTACGGAAACTATTTGCACTGTGGATGGACTACATTTTAATTGCACATACAATGCTCGAGTAAAAGCGTTCAATACTGCTGGTGAAGGCGAGTACAGCGAAATAATTGGATTACAAACTTCAGAAGGTATACTTATAAGGGTTGAAGTGCCAAATTATTGTGTATATTTAAATAATATTGTTGAATTAAGAAAATTAAGTAGATCACCTAAAAATAAAAAAAATTCATTTTTAATAGGTAATATTAAAAAAACTACTTTAAAAATGTACAATTGTGCCTATAAAATCGATAAATAATTTATACTGTATTTAAAAATAATGTGTCTACCATCAGGCTAGTTAGGTAACTTAATTTGATACATGTGCTAATATTAGAATCAAATTTACTTTTGACTGATGTGAAAATAGAAAATTTAAAATTCCAAATTGATCTGATTGGCAATATTTTTTAATATATTTAGGTTTCTAAACATGAAGTTTACACACATTATATCCCTGTTATATCTATTCATCTGTAGTGACTTGTTGATTTTGTTGATAAGGAGATGTATATATTAAAAATAAATTTGTCATATTATTACTATTCAAATTTGACTATTAAATATACATTGATATTAGCCAACAAGTAATAATATAAGTAGTACTTAAATGTATATGTAACTTTAGTTTATTGTTTAAAATATTTTTAAAAAACAGGAACTAGGCTTGTCTTTCGGAGTACCATTTTCTAATTTGTTAGATAAATAAAATTACTAAGAATGTACTTTATTGGGAAAAATACTTCCATTATAACTATTGATTGTTTAACTATATCTACAAATGGTATCAAAATATACTGCTTGATGTTAATTATATATATTTTTGTATATATTTTAGTGGCTTGGTTTACATTTGATCCATGCCTTAGCTCTCCTGAGTTATGTTTTACGCCAGACAATATGACAGTAACTTGTGAAGGATTTGAACACAGAGTGGCTTTGGGCAGTGTTGGATTTTCCAGGGGAGTTCATTACTGGGAGTTTACTGTGGATCGGTATGATGCTGACACTGATCCTAGTTTTGGGATCGCTCGATTGGATGTTTCCAAAGAGGAAATGCTTGGTAAGGGTACATCATTAAAATTTAATATTTATTATAAATTAAGTATGCGAGCCGTAATTAATTCTATTCTTTATAGTTTTCTCGTTTCATTTGACATTTAGTTGTATATATTTTGGTTATAGGCAAAGATGAATCTGGTTGGAGTATGTATATTGACAAACAAAGGTCTTGGTTTATGCACTGTCGTAGTCACGAACAGCGGTGTGAAGGTGGTATCCAGGTTGGATCAACTATTGGTGTACTTCTGGACTTGAATAAACACCAATTGTCATTTTTTGTTAACGATGAACCTCAAGTACGAATTTATAATTTTTTATATTTGTATTTATTTATAATATTATATTGTATAAATTATAGTATTATTATTCTTTAAAACCATAACAGTTCTAATATTGTTTTTTCATATTAGGGACCAGTGGCTTTTCACGGTTTGTATGGCGTCTTCTATCCAGCAGTGAGCGTGAACAGAGGGGTTGCTGTCACCCTACACACTGCTCTTGATGCTCCTAGCGATGTAGAAGACTGTTAAGATTTCAAATGTATCGTTCACAGTAAAAATACATACTATAACATAATATTATAATTCATAATTGATTATGATATTATGAATGTTATCAATAAGGTTTTTTTTTTTAATAATAATAATAATATTTTTATTTAAAGTTTCTATTAAAAGTTATATGAGTCCAATATTTTGTATTTGTACGTATATAATGTATGTATAATGATTGTGTATTTTTTTAAATTTATTATTGACTCAAGAGTAAAGTAAATTTTAACAGGGTGGGAAAGTTGTATAGAATAACTGCAATATACATGTTATATACTTGTACACTGCATATTTTTCCCTTCCATTTGCTTAAAATGACTATTTTTTTTTTTTTGCTTTTTTAGTTAAAAAAAAAAATTATTATAATATTTTTTATGTTATTATATTATTTAGCTATTCAAATATTTATGGTATGTTTCGAATGTACAGAAATATTGAGAATGAAACTGAATGATTACAATATTGTCATTATATTATGATGTGTATTATTATAATATTTGACTATATTCATTTATAAACCCTTAGTACAATTTATATTATGACATTATTTTTTTTTTACTAATAGGTATATCAATTTAGTACTATTCATAAAATTGTTTTGTTCTATGTCATCACTAGTAGTTGTTTAAGTTGTACAATATGATTGAGCATATGATTAAGTAATTATATATCATATTCTTTATTTGTTTAATGTAAAATAATTTTTTTATAGTTCATTCTAAGTATTTTCTGGATCATTGAAATATCGAAAAAAAAAAAAACAAATTCCTCTTTATCCATTTGTTAGAATCCATATACATTTTTTTCTATTGTTCATTTATGTTTTAATTCAATTTTAATGGGATATAATTAGATTTAGGTGTTTTTAATTTTATTCATCTAGTCAAATAGATTTAGATTTCATGATTTCTCATAAAGACTGAAGGGATGCGACAAACAAATAAATATATTTCCATGCATATATTGAATATATCAATATTTCAACATTAATAAAGATAGATAAAGGTTAAATATTAAAATATTTATAAGTAATAAGTAGTAACCAACGAACCATATAATTGCATTATAGTTCACTATCAAAGATCAGGGCTATATTAGAATTTTAACCACTTTGTTTTCTATTGTTTTTATTTAGTGTACAGTGTCATTACTTAGTCTAATAGAAATATTTTATTATATGGACCCATACTTGGTCTTTAAAGGGTAAATCTTTTTTTTTAGCTTCTAAACATATAATCAAATTTATGTTGTATCATGTTTCATATATTATTTTACACCTTGATAAAAATGAACCATTTTCTTTTAATTTTTAACCACCTAAAATAGAGCAAATAGTAAAAGATTTCGGTGCACACTTTTATTTTAATAAATATAAATACCATTTAATCGTTTGTCAATTGATTTTCCTATAGAATCCGCCACATTCCTTTGATGTGCGTTTCAGTTCTATATTTCCTATGTATTTGAACGTGCATCATAATTTATGTACTATAATGTTTATATAATGTTTGTATAATAATTGTATTTAATTACACGTACACAGATATATTATGTCAACAATATATATTATTGTTATATAAATGATTTATTTGTAATATCTATTTAACACTTAAGTTTGGAAGTGGAAAACAATATTGTATTGTCATTTATATTTTATTATGTACTGTAAATTATCAATATATATCATAATTATATAATATGGTAATTTTAATTGTATAGATATCTTTTGAACATTATTATGCCATATGCGATCATTCATTAATCGGCCCACTAGCGTATTAAATCAAAACTGAAAAAATAATATAACTTCAAATCTCAAAAATTAACACTAAAAAGAGATAGGTTTATACTATACATTTTTTTTTTTTCATTTATAACAATCAATACACATAATAAATAATTAAATACATTACCATATCTAGGTTTATTAAAATGTACTTGCAATAAAATATAATATTTGCTATTAATTTAAAAGTAAGTTTAATTTCTTGGCCAGCCAAGAATGATAATTTTTTTTGATTGCTTTAATAAAAAAGGGTTGGTCACCACTGTCATAGACATTATTTTCCTCAGGTCTTCTTTTTCAATAATTATTGAACAAATGTCTTTAAATAATCTATTTTGATTAAGTGTTAAGTAAATATCGTTAGTTCTTGAACGGCTTGTGGCTGGTTTTATAAATTGTATCTCTTATGATTGAGTATTTAATAAAAACAAATGTGCTTACAAGCAGCATATTATTTTAAATATTATAGATACATTTATATTGTTATAATGAATTTGTATAGAATTTTAACTATGTAAATTAGTTATTTTACTACGATTAATCTTTTCTATTAGCAGGTTAATATGTTAGTTGAGCGGTACTACAACTTATGATCATATCGCACAATTTTTAGTTTAGTGTGTGATCTACTCTAATCACATTATTGAATTATGCAAATACCATTAAATAATATTTGAATATTGAGTAAATACCATTTTTAAAAAACTTATTTAATATATAGTATATGTGATAGGGCTGAAAATAAGTCACTTATAGACAATTATTTTGAATTTAAGTCATTTTGTATCTATATTTCCGTGTATGTAAAATATGTTTTACCTATTTGTTAATACCTATATGTTCATACTCGTAATTAAGTACGTTTGTAATTTTTTTTAAAAATTAAAGAATTTGCCAATATTTTAATAACATCTACAGTAGGGTGACAATATTTTACATGGAAAAAATTTAAGTTTATTATTTGTTTTATCCCACCCACCTAAAATGTTCATTTCGGTGTAAAATAGATTTTTGGAAAGTTTTATCTCATTTGGTTGANTGTTATTAATAGAGCATTGATATCGCACTTTATTCGCATTATCGACGAAAATACGCCGATTACGCAACACTCGTTCGACATTAGTCGGTGTTTTTCAGTACGACGTTAATGATTATTATTTTGTTGTGATTATACTCATATATAATATCAATACCTATCGTATCGTGTAAGTTGTGCTCGTACGCTTAAGTTTTCGTTTGTTTTTTTGCGCCATTAATTTTAAATACTAAGATGACATGGCTAACGCTAGTACTGCAACTAAAAGTTACATTAAAAATCGTGGCATTTGGTTGATTGGAGGGACACTTGAATCCATTACTGGTTGTAAACTTCCGTCTATTCAACAAGTACTTCGACGTTTTTTTTCATTTGCACTCTCGCGAAAAAAAAACCTATACAAACTAGTGTTACAATAACTGCAAGAGAAGTTAACGCTTTTTGGGAAAAAGCCAAAATTCCCAGGCAAAAAGAATGTACATTGTAAGTGGCAAAATATTAAAAAACCTTCTAACAAAAGATTAAAACAAAATAATACCTTTAAAACGAACAATACATTAAAACCTATTAATATTGTAACTTCTACAGTAGCTTCTGCTTTGGATAGAACGAATGTAAGTGACCGTAATGCTACGTCCATTTTATCTGCTACAGTAAAATCGTTAGGGCATAATATACAGAACTTTACTCTTAATAGAGAGTCAATTAGACAAGCTCGTAGAGGATATCGAGAGAAAATCGCAAACGAAATAAGAACTTCATTCGTTATGAATATTCCATTGACAGTCCATTGGGACGGAAAATTACTTTCAGCTTTAACTTCAAATGACAAAGTTGATCGTCTAGCAGTTATAGTATCAGGGGATCAGGTATTATGAAATTACTCGGTGTGCCGAAAATTCCAAACGGAACGCCTCTTCGGGTTCGTTGACGTCAAAAACTCTATCTAGAAGAATGGAATTTAACTGAACGCATTAATAATTCAATGTCATTTGATACTACAGCGAGTAACAGAGGAGTAAACACTGGTGCACGTGTACTTCTTGAAAAAAAAAATAAAAAAGACCTCATCAGTTTAGCATGCCGACATCACATATTAGAAATTATTATTGAGAGAGTGTTTAATGCGTTAATGGAAACTTCAAACGGTCCCAATATTCGGCTGTTTCAAAGATTTTCATCTAACTGGAGCCAAATTAATATAAAAAAATATGAAAGCGGAATAACAAAAGACACAGTCGCTAATGAATTAAAACCACACAAAAATGACCTTGTAAAGTTCATTAAAGACCAGTTAGCGACATATCAGCCTAGAGATGACTATAGGGAATTGTTACAACTTTCTCTTATATTCTTAGGAGATAAAACTGCTCGATGTTTTAACATTCGTACACCTGGTGCTTTACATCGAGCTAGATGGATGGCAAAGTAAATTTATAACTTGAAAATTTACTTATTTCGATCGCAGTTTAAACTAACTGTTCGAGAATTATCTGCTCTTCGCGTCTTCAACGTTTTTGTTATAAAAGTTTATATTAAGTATTAGTATACTTCTTCTTGTGGAGAATTAGCTCCTAACAACGATCTAAATCTTTTAAAAGAACTCGATAATTACAAAAAAAACAAATAAAGTTATTGCTGATCCGGCTATCAAGAGCTTCTCAAGACATTTATGGTATATAAGTGAAACGCTTATTGGATTAGCCTTTTTTGACAGCAAAGTGTCTTCTGAAATGAAAGAAAATATGGTAAAATCATTAGTGAAGAAAGGTACTGAAATCCCTCTTCGGCGTATTACAGTTAAGATGACGGCAGTTCAAACAGTACAATTATGTGATTTTGTTTGTAAAAATACCCTCAAATTATTTAAAGCCTTGGATATACCTCAAGATTTTTTAAATCCGCATCCAAGTACTTGGGAAAATAATAATGATTTCATTGAGAGTCGTAAAAGGATTCAAAATCTGAAAGTAGTAAATGATGCTGCTGAACGTGGAATTTCATTAATTCAAACATTCAATGGGATACTTACCAACCAAGAGGAGCAAAAGCAATATCTTTTACAAGTAGTTGAACAACACGGGCAGAAGTATCCAAATCCAAATAGATCAACACTAAATGATTGAAATTTTGTATATTATTATGGTAATTGATGACTTTTTTTAATTATTTTGTATGTTATTATAGTAATTGATAAGTTTTTTATTATTATTATTAATTGTATATATTTGTTTGTATTTATACACTATTGATTGTATATGTGAAATTTATCATATTTTCAAATAAGTTGCGCAACCAAAAAAAATAAATATTTTTCCTTGAAATCTTTTGCGAGCCTTCTTATTATATAGATGAATAATTTAAGTGGATGGGACCATCATAAAATAAAAATTATGTTTTTTTGTCACCCTAATCTACAGGTTTAATGATTATTACCATGGCCAAATATTATCAAGATAGATAAGAATATACTGTCCATTTATATTATTGAGTAACTCTATGGTAGGTAGTATTACTCTATAACCAACTCGCGAAAACGTTATCCCTAGGGTTGTGAATTTGTTGGAAAAATTTTTTTTTAGCTGATTATAAAACATAGCTTTCTATAAGAAAATTATTAATAAGTATATAATTTGAATAATGTAACAGCCAATTAATTTATGAAACTTTTGTTTTACATTTTTTCATGTTTTTAATTTTTAAGGTAATTGTATGGGCTTTTAGTCATATTTTCTGGTATTTTTAATCAAATTCCATCAATTAACATCTTACACAGGCTATATTTATGTCAAATTTATATTTTATAAAATAATATTTTCCATAAGCTGTATACGGGTTAGGTAAAGATAAGGATTCGATAAAATAAGGCAATATTGCTTAGATTAATTATTTGTGGGCTTGTGATATATCAAAATAAATATAAAAACCATTTTAAGAGACTTTAAATGCATATTTTATTGCATGTATTGTGCATTTTTTTAAGGTTTTTCACTACATTAAATTCACAGCCCTAGAAATCAGTTAATAGTTTGCTCGTGGTTACAATGGCAAAACATACCTATTAATAATATTTTCCTCAAGTGTGTATTGTTCTGATTTATTTATATTATCATAAAGCCATAAAATTATAAAATATATTTAGAGAACTTATGGATTTAGTCCGTTATTTAAGTTTATAATTTATAAGAAAACTTTAATGGATAAACACTTTTTCAGTGAAGATTGGCTTTCAAGAACTATGTATTAGATACATGTGTTAAATCTATAATCTATAAATCTTAAATCTTTACAGGCCAATCAAATTTAATCATAGCCCACAAACACTTAATAACAAAAGTATTTCAAAATAAATAAAAATAAAAAATGTGTAAAATAGACATTTTCCTTATTATTATTATTTTATTTTAAAAAAAAAGACCCTTGACAGCATGGGCTATTGGGTTTACAAATTTTTTCTAGTTAAGCACTCTAATGTTAACTGTAAAACTTATTTTAAATATTGTATATCTATATTCTAATCTATAAACTTAAATCTACACAGGCCAATTAAATTTACTCATAGCCCACAAACACTTAATAACAAAAGTATTTCAAAATAAATAAAAATAAAAAATGTGTAAAATAGACATTTTCCTTATTATTATTATTTTATTTTAAAAAAAAAGACCCTT